ACCAAATGGAATTCTTCATACATAAGCACACATCTAGGAATGCAAGGATGGGCCAACATATGCAAATATATAAATGTAATACACATTAGCAGAATGAAGGGAATAACCTTATGAAAACAAAATAGATACAACAAATGCATTTGACAAAATTCAATGTCTTAACAAAATGTATCAATAATTAGGAATAGAAAGATTGTACCTCCATACTCATAATAAAGGCCACTTGTTTCAAGTGTATTGGTGCCATCATACTCAATGATGAACATAGGAAAGCCTTTTAAGATCAGGGACAAGATAAGAGTCCACTCTGACGATTTCTCAACACAGTACTAAACTCCTAGCCAGAGCAATTAGGCAAGAGAATAAAATGAAAGACATCCAAATTGGAAAAGAAGTTAAACTATCCATTTGCAAACAATATGATCCTATGTACATGGAATAATAAAGCCTCTACCCCCTCCTAAAAAAACCTTTTAGAACTAATAATTTCAGTGAAGTTTTTAGATACAAAACTCAACATACAAAACTCAGAACAGTCTCTATGCTGAAATAAATCAAGACAACAATTCAATTTAAAATAAATGCAAAACACAATAAAATGCTCAGGGAAATAATATTGCTAAAATAGTCACACTACTCAAAATGCTTTACAGATTCTGTACAACTGCTAACAAAACTCCAACGACATTTTTCATCAAAATAGGCAAATTAAGTCAGGTGTAGTAAAGCATATCTGTAATCCCAGCACTGTGGGAGGCTGAGGCAAGAAGATAACAAATTCAACACAACCAAGACAACTTATCAAGACCCTGTCTCAAAATAAAATACAAAGGGCTAGGGATACAGTTAAGTGTAAAAGCTGTGGGTTCAACTTCCAGCAATGAAGAAAAATGAAACAAAAAGAAAATCCCAAATTTCATATGGAATCACCTAAGATCCCAAAAAGTCAAAGTAATTCTAACCATCACATGCATGACTTTGAAATTATTACAAAGCCAGGTGTGGTGGTGCATGCGTATAATCCCAGTACTCAGGAGGCTGAGGCAGGAGGATTGCTGCAAGTTCAAGGCCAGCCTGGGGTACAAAGTGAGTTCAAGGCCAGCCTGAACTGCAAAGTGAAACACTCATCTCAAAGAGACAAAACACTATATACATGTAGTGATTGTGACTGATATAAACCACAAGAACAGAATAAATAGCCTAGAAGTAATCTACACATTTGCAGTCAATTGATTTTCCACTATGATCCCAAAAATACACAATACAGAAAGGACAGTATCTTCAAAAACTGGATATTCACATGCAGAAGAATAAAATTAGAATTTTATTTCACACAAGATATACTAATCAACTCAAAATAAAGACTTAAACACAACACTTGAAACTATAAAATTAGGAAAAGAAAGCACAGAAGAAAAGCTCCATATGACATTGGTCAGGGAATAATTTTTAGACACAACTCTAAAAGTACAAGCAATAAAAAGAGATGAATGGGGTTACATCAAACCAAAACACTTCAATGCAGCAAAGGAACAGAGTGAAGAAACAACATATGGAACAGGACAAATCTACAAGCCATACTACTGATAAGAAAACAATTTAAAAATTCATATGGAAACAGGAGAGACCCAGAATAGCAAATGTAACCAGGGGAAACAAAGTAAAGCTGGAAGGATCACAACCCAAGACATCACCAATGACTTTGGAGGGTGTATCTCTCCCTCTGGCTCTTCCACTATCTCTCTGCTTCAGCATCCATGAGCTAACAGTATTTCTCTGCCAGGCCCTTCTGCCATTACATTTCTGTACGGCAGCCACCTGTCATGTCCGTGGACTGAAATGACGAGCTAAATAACCCCTTCGTTAAGTTGCATGTGCCAGGCACTTTGTCCCAGCAATGGGCAAAACTGACCAACACAGGCTGGGAGTGTAAGTGCAATTAAGAAAAATGACATAGGGTAAACGGTAAGGATATATGAGGTACAATGGCCAGAGAAGGCTTCTCTACTAAGTAACATTTGAACAGAACAGAGAATTACATGTGAGCATCAGCCACACATGAGTGCGATCAAATTACATTTAAAGATACACTGCCTTAATCTCCTTCAAAATACTTCCCCTCACTTTGATGGGTTCTCATTTTGGAGGGTTGGTAGTTGCATCACTGTGATTGTCTTGATGTCCTCAATCAAGATAAAATGTCTACCTTTCATGGTTCTCTCAACTTTTAGAGAAGAGCCGGAAGTGGCAGGGGGGCCAGATCCAGTGAATAAGGCAGATGACAACACACCACACTGATTTTACAAGCCTGCCTATCTGTGGCCCAGCACTTGGTGGCAGCGTGCACTACATTTTTGATTACACCTCACAAAGAATCTTATGAAAGAGGCTTCAGAAAGTAGCAAGAACAGCATAAATATGTTTGAAGTGAGGAGGAGTATTTTTTTCATTTTAATGAGAATTTTAAAAAAACAATAAAAATGATACAGAATTTCAAAACAAGATGATAGGAAAACAACGATCATTATACTGTTATCTTTAGAGTATTTCTCAGATTTCCAGATATAGGCATGCAAAATTGATCAAACAATATAAGCATTAACTGCTCCTTTCAATAAGTTAATAGAAATAAGTAGTACAATTATCTATCTTGTGTGTGTGTGTATATATATATATATATATATACATTTTTTTTTCCTTTCTTCTTTTCTCCTTTCCCCATCCCAGTTGTTCTTTCCTTTTGAACAGGTTCTTTCCTTTTCACAGTATCTACTGCACCTTTTGGATCTTATTTACTCTTTTAGTTGCTTACACTAGGGAGACAATATGATGTTTACACATATGAGACTGATTTATTTCACTTATGCGTATGGTCTCTAGTTGCATCCATTCACCTACAAAAGCCTCGAGTTTATCTTTCTTTATAGCTGAGTAATACTCCACTGTATAAAAATACGACATCTTTTTTAGAGAGGGATTAGTGACAGTGTGTCTTCTTTGTAATATTTTCTTTTTAATTTAAACACTGAGTATATTTTTCATCACTTCTTGCAGTTACCCAGGCATAGAATATTCCAGTCAGAGAGAAAAGGAAGTGTAAGGGCACTCAGGTGGTTGTGAGCACCATGTCTGAAAAACAACTAAGAGGCCAACGTGGTTAGAACAGAATGGGTGGGGTGTAGTGGCAGAAGATGATGTCAGCAGGATATTCACACTCAAACAGAGCCTGCTAGGCTATAGTAAGCACTTTGGAATTTAATCTGAATGAGAGAGGAAGTTAATGGAGATTTTGAGCAGATGAGTGTAAAAAGACCACTCCAGAATCTGTCTTGAAAACTACAGGTGGCACAGGTGGAACCCTGACAGTCTATAGTAACCCAAGGTAGGAGGCAGGTGGTAAGGACTGTAATGATTGACCTGACAACAAGAGTTCAGTTTTCATTCACACACACACACACACACACACACACACACACACACATACACACTCCTCTGTAAGACTTGTGTATGAGTAAACAGGGAAATTAAGGTCACAGAATGTAATGTAAGTATAATATATGAAAAGTAAAAACAATAAAGTCAGGAGATGAAAAGATTAAAGATAATTAAGTCCAAACACACAAGCACACTCAGAAGATAAATGACAAGTAGAAAATACCTACAGTTCACATCACAGAGGGCTCATCTCCCTAATTTATAAAGAGCTCCTCTATTATTTAAATGTATATATATGACAAAAATAGAATACTAACAACCCAAACATGAGCAGAACCAGCAAGGCCATCAAGAGATAACTCACAGAAAAGGGTAACAACAGAAAAACAAATAAAAAACTTCCACCTCGCTTAAAGTAAGGTACATAATTATAAAAAAACAAAAGCCAAACACACACATGAACATATACCACATGTTTCTGCTATATAATAAAGCAGTTTCCTTCTAGGAATTTAGTCTGTAAATATAGTTGTATGCATAAATTTGAACATACTCAACAGGGTTCTTTTTTATTAAATTTTAACAGGTTATAAAATTAAGGTTATGTTTCCTGTAATCACCTGCATAGCTTCCTTAATGCCAAATGTTTATTACTAAATTAAGGTTTATTAAGACCTCACTATGTTCAAGGCACTATGGTACACGTGGGTATGTGGTTATGAACAAAGCAGTCCCTAGTTTCATGAATCTACAATAAACATCTAAACAAGCTACACATGTGCAAACATTCATATCCATTAAAATTTCTAATTTTCAATTCACAGTACTTTGCCTTTTTATAGAGAACATTTCTTTAAACTTTGCAAATGTATTAACATACAAAAGAACACTGTCTTATATGGTCTGTTACCTGTCAGTACTATATCAGGTTAAGCTGTCTTTTCTAATTCTGATGTATTTTTTTCTTTATTTGTACAAGGGTCTATCTTTGCTAAGTTGATTGAATTCATAGAGTATTTGCAAATAAACACATAGATGGCCAAACAACAGATAGTAAGCTAGCTTCCTCAGTTCTTAACAAGTTTCTTTTAGCTTCCTGAGTTCACAGCAAGTTTCTTAGAAGAGCTAAAACTCTGAAAATAGTAGGAACTAGAAAGGTGAGTAGTACAATAAGTGCTAATTAAAATCTGAGCATTGTTTTACTCATTCTTTCTAACTTTACCAACATTATACCCCTTCCGCTTTCTTCTGTCCCTGCTACCTACCCCTCCACATTATTGACCCATACCATCTCCCTCACTGTGATCTCCACTTAAAAACAGGTTCAGCAGAAAGCTGACATGTAGAATAAGTTCCGTTAAATACCAGAAGTGATAGCCTCATTCACCTTGTAGAATTTTAATAAACATAGCCACAATCATATAGGAAGGCCGTGTTGTTATGGGGTATTCATTGTTACATGAAAACTACTAAGTACAAGTTATATAAAGATTACCCTTTCACATAAATGATTTCTGCAAATAAACTGGTTCTCAAAGCAAAAATTTGAATTCTTTAACACTTACATGTCTAAGGAGTAATTCTAGAATCCAGTTTAGAAGTTCAACTGGTGGGTTTTTTCTTTGTTCTTTCATTAACTTCTTTAAAAAATGTACAATATCTATCAGCAGTTTCTCATCTTCAGTGCAAGCAGGAAGCACTTGTAAAAACCTATAATAAGAAAGACAATAATCATGATCTGTACCTCTTTAAGATACATATCACTGTTCACTGAGGATATAAGCATTTAACACATTTCCCGCGCTCATACTATGTTTTAGATACTACTCTAGAGGCCATATAAAAATGCACAAGTAAAGAAAACAGGGTATCTTCACAACCTTTAACAACCCAGGCCTGTATTGGAGAAAACACAACCAATTAACTAATAAAACTGGAAATGATAAATAATATAAAAGATAACTTTTATCTGAGCCAAACTCAGAAAAAATGCCAAATGAATGCCAAAGAGAAAAACAATTGCCTCTAACTGACCTGAAAAAGTTGCTCCTTCATGCCAAAATTGTCATGTTTCACAGATTAAAAAAAAAAAAAAGTATTTCAAAGCTACTTCTGACCATGTTGGAAAAGTAAGGTAACAAGGAAAGGGAGGAAACACATTGCAAGGATGCCGTCACAACACATGACAAGTGAAAACAACACTGAAGACAGACACAGGAAGGACTTCCATATCTTTGTAAGTTCAAGTAAAAGGGCACAAACCAATTTCTGAGATTCTTAAAAGAAAATGGTACAAGAGAGCCAGAAAACTGGTTGATAAGAAAACTTTTATGAGGGGCTGGGGATTTAGCTCAGTGGCATAGTGCTTGCCTGGCAAGCGCAAGGTCCCGGTACCAGAAAAAAGCCAAAAAAAAAAAAAAAAAAGAAAAAAAGAAAACTTTTATGAAAAAAAAAGTTTGGAAATTGTTTTTTTATTAAAAGACAACCAGGAATAGAAGTGTAAGAGATTTATCTGTAATGTCTTTGTTTCTAAAAATTGAAAGCAATTATATCAAAATGTTAATGAGCATTCATAATACTTAAGTGAAATCCAGCACTTATTGAGCACTGGACTGTATCAGAAGTTGTTCTAAGTTTTTTCAATCTTCATAAAGTTGGTAGCTCTATTTCAAACTAATAAAGCTCAGGCACAGATATGCTTAAGTAGTTTTTCCTATAGTTACATGGCTACTAAGTATTATAACATAAAAGCTAATTTAAACAGTCCAACACCATGGCTATATTATGTTACATTTGTAGGGTGTAATAGGAAATCTGACTTTATTATTCTTTTACTTGTCTTTATTTAAAATCCCTACCTTCCCAAAATGACATTCAGCAGAGATGATGACAAGAACTTGTTATGACAAGTGTCAAATTAGAAAAATATTTCAAAAGGACAGATGAAAGGATGATTCTAACAATATTAAATATGCCAATCATATCCATAAAAGATCATCTGAAAATATCACCTCTGCAGACTCACTTTATAATTAGTTCCCATATTCTTTAAATCCAAGTGCAATTATCTTTCTTTCACTTTCTGAAAAAAACTATACTAACTTGAAGCTTTATCATTGTGCCTAGCATGTTTTCTGCCTCTATCTTACTTACCCTTTGTGCCTTGGATTCAACTTTATCAAATAAATAACTCTCTCTCCACTTAGGTAAGATGAGGTACCCCTCCAATATAGTTTCCTAACAGACTTCCCCTTGAAAGCTTTCTCAGTGTTGATTAAACTTTTAGTTGCCTTCACTGCAAGTTCCATAAAAACAGGGATTCTATCAGTTTTGCTTATTGCTAAATATTCTACTAGAGTCTGGCATGTAAGAGGTAATCAATAAATGTTTGTGCAATGATGGGAAAGCAGTAAAAAAAAGAGGCAATAGCTCTTTTATTCCCATCCTTTTCAGCTGATACCACTATCCCCCATAAAAGGCATGTCTAAATCACAGAGGGAATCCTAAAACAGTATTAACAAGGGAAAAGTCTGAAATAACTGAAAGTATTTAGAGCCCAAGGGAGAAAACATAGAAAAGAAATTAGTTATGTTTAAATAACATATGAGTTATCACATATGAATACAGTTAGCATTTATTCCTTTTGTGGTTAAAGGATACACTCATGGGTAAAATTACTAGGTAGTGGTCCAAAAGAACTTGTTATCATTCTTAAAAAGAGCTATGCATGCTGAGGGTACATGGTCACTTGACAGGAATATACATAAGGGAATTCATCAAGTCCCTAGCTGATCTCTCAAACCCATCCAATTTAACTTAGCAGGAGTAAACTGTACATTGTGCCATATGGCATATGTGAGGATATAAGAAAGAATGTAATAAACCCAGGCACGTAAATAGAGAAAACATATTTAAATAACTTTAACAATTATAGGTCTCAGGTCTACTATGTGACGATTACTATGGTAATTACAACTCCATAATATGTTACAGAGGGAAAAGATGTGGAACCAAAGCTCAAAAATGAGTAGATATTTACAGAATAGTCAAAGAGTTAACTGTGCAAAGGCACAAAATGATAAAACAGTAGTGCATGCCCTAGAAAAGTGATGGTGACTCTTTTACAGCTTTCCGTGATAACAAACAGCCGACTGCAGCACCCGTGCCATAAATTCACCACCACTGTTCTACAATATCAAACAGTTTCATAAAACTACAATACATGCATACTTCATAGTACTACTGTGCATGTTAGAGCTGAGATATTCAGCTGAAGGACCAGCCAAGTACCAGACGAGAAAGGAGTTTCTGTGCTACGCTATAGGATAGTAATGGCAAAGTTTTTAGAGCTTTCAACAACACTAACGATCTGCTGCAGCACGAATACCATAGGTTTGCCACCACTGCTGTAGGGTTAATCTCTGGCATGCCATGGCAGAGATTCCACAGGTGACGTGTACGTAAAAAGGAGCGTTCAGGAAGGAATATAGTGAGTAGCATAAGGACAGAAACAGAAACAATAAAACCATTCTGTAGTCATTGTGTAGTCCAGGTGAAAAATGGTAAAAGCCTCTGCTAGACAGTAGCAATAGGACTTCTAATAGAAAAGGGGTAGAAAGGTTTTAAACATGCAAAATCAAAAGGAAATGGTTAAAGAAGACTACAGATACCTCTAAACACTTACAATTCTACTGAACCATGACTATAACATATATTTACTCCTAAATGGACTCCTTTGGGGGACATTCATTTAGAGATACAGAGACAGAGATACATAAAGATATAGAGATATAGGTATATAGATATACATAGATATATTTTAAATTACCCTCGAACTATATTTACTGATATAAAAATATCTAAAATATGCTACTTTGAAAATAAAAAATCATCACACAAGTATAATCATGCTTCTCTATACTGTTCTCTACACTGATATAATTTGAAATACACAAAATTTTAAAATAAGCTTATAAAAATTTATTTCAGTAATTTATATAGTCATAATTCACACTCTAAATATTTTTTTGCTTTAAGTGCTGGCTAGCTAATTGGCTAAAAACATGACATTCCTTCAACTGAGTAAAAACAAAACTAAAGAAAAACTTCCCAAAGTCTCATCTGTTTTACGCACATATACACATTTGATATACACACACACTCAACCTCCCCACACAAACACACCTCTACACACATTATTTCTGGGAGTAAAAATACTTCTTTAAATATTTTCTGAACAAGGTGTATTTTGTGATATACTGATATACTCCTAAGTAAAACATAGTATAGTAAAAACATGAGTAATTTATATATTATAAAGCACTATCTATGCTACACATACTAACCTTATAAACCAAATAAAAGAGAAAAAAATGTAGTTGTCCCTCAGTCATGGAGGGTTTGTTCCAAAACTCCCTGCAGATAACAAAACGTGCAGATGCTCAAGACCTTTATAGGTAATTGCATAGCACTTCCATATAACTTAAGCAATCGTCTTGTATATATATTACCTTTAGAGAATTTATACAGCTAATACAATGTAAATACTTTATAAGGAGCTGTCACACTATTGTTTAGCAATAAAGTAATAAGAAAAGTATTGGTTGATACAGATGTAGGGTTTTTTTCATAGTATTTTCAATTCTCACTTGGTTGAATCCACAAAAAAAAAACCTACTATTTACAGATGTGGAAAGCTTTATAAAATACACATACTTCAAAATGACCTAACAGTAGAAAGGACATAGTACAGTAAAGAGTCTGGGGCTGAACAAAAGGACAGCAGATAATGAGGGGGAGGGTGATCAAAGTATGTTACATGCACATGTAAATAACAAAATAAAACTCACTAGTCTGTATAGCTAATATGCGCTAATAATAAATAACACTTTTTACTCATGCTAGTCAAAGGGTAAACCCACTATAAAAATGTGATGCTTACATATAGGTACTGCTGCTAGGCAATTTGAACTGCTGTAGGGGCTTCCACTGATCTGTACCAAGAGTCTTTGCCTCAATGTCATTTCACAGACTATTTCTATGGTTTGAATACATATTATTGGCTTTTACCACAAAATTCTGTTTCTGTTTCTTGTAACAAACAGAATTATATCAAATTTATTGAGACTACAAGGTTTATTCATGCCTTGGTTGACAAGAACATTTAAAACTAATGTGTTGACATTTAAAAATTGACTAGGAAAGACGGTGCTGATCTGTTGTTCATGATTTGCATGGTTTACACATCCCCATAAAGGCCGGCATCTAACTACAGTGTAACATGGAGTTGGAAAGAGAAGCTCAGAAGCATACAATTATGCAGTTTTTCTATAAAACACATACAGTAAAAATCATCTCATGAGCATAAATAATAAAATATTATCATAATTAGAAAGTAATGATTTTTTTCATATTCATTATCTTTATTTTCAAATAACTTAATTGTAAGTTATATAATTTTTAAGAGCAGCTTAAAAATCAATTTTCAAAACCCCTGAAAATTTAGCCATCAGCTCTCACACAAGGCAGTACTAGCTGGCTCAGGCACATTGCCGGAAAAGACCAATTAAAGGAAAACAAAATAAAGGAGCTCACATTTTGGAAACTCATTTAACCCAGCAGGTTTAAAATTGCATGCTTTATGTTTAATAAAAAAAGTTATATACTTTACAGTAAAGTATATAAAGGCACATGAAAAATAAAATGAAAAACTGAGTACAGCAGTTGCTTATCAGTCTTGGTGCAGATGCAACCATCTGCTAACAGTTAAATGTACTAAATTTACAAGCTAGAATCTTCCCAAAAACAATGAAGGGACATACACATGGCAATCACCTTCATGAAATTCAGGGTAAAAAGAAAAATGAGATCATTTCCCTGAGAACAAAAGCAAAACAAAACAGAACAGCCTATAGCAGGTGTACCGAACCTAGTAATCAATTCTCTGATGTTGCAACTCCTTTACAATACAAACAGGAATAAACATTCAGTGTCTCACCCATGTCTTATCTTGATTATTTGCTTTTGTGAAAAAAATTTTTCTAAGCTAACTAAAACTTTCAAAAGTTTATTAATAATTCCTTCAAAAATGTGTGAATAAGTTAATATTTCTTTTTTGCTATTAGTATCTCTTACAAACAATAAAAATTCTAGAATTTTGCTTTCTATAAAAAACATTTCTCTCATGATAGCAACAGTGAGAATATTCGCTCTTATCTTCAAAGGTTTGAGGATGAACCCAAATGCAAGTCAATCCAGGTCTTTCAAACTGGCAGGATGGGGGCTGGGGATTTAGCTCAGCGGCAAAGCGCCTGCCTAGCAAGTACAAGGTCGTGAGTTCAGTTCCCGCTACCGGAGAAAAAAACCAAAAAAAAAAAAAAAAAACCAAACTGGCAGGATGATGCTCATACTAACCTGTTTAGTGCACTGGGCCAACCCAAGGACTTCAAGGTAACCCCACATGGGCTGGTGCCTCCCTTTAAAGACAATTTGTCATTCAGAAGATAAAAACTCATCCTTGTGACAGCAGCCCTAACATCCCTGTGGGCTACAGCCTGAACAATGGAATGAAAGCAGTCCTGCAACCCACTAGCTGTGTGTGTTATCTTCAGAGTGAGGATGTCCACTGTGGATAGCTTCAGTGTATCTGAAAATCTAGACAAAAAGAAGAAAGACCAACATAAGCTATTTAAATTAAAGCTCACATTTATTTTTATTATAAATTTTCATGTCCAAAATTATTTTATTTTCATTTTCTTTTAATTAAAGATTGACTTATACCCAAAAGAAAACTGTTATGTGCCAGTATTAGAGTTTTACATTAACATACTAAGTACTTATATTGATTTTTTCCTCCTTATAAAAATATAAAACATGTTTTATTCCTAACAGTCTGACAGATTAGAATATTAAAAAATGCAAAAGTAATCACCATCATAGTAATAACATTCTACATATACTTATTAAGTTTTATTCTAACCCAGAGCACTTTCACTAACGATTAGACCTATTAACTAAACAAATTTCACATAAACTTAGAACAGCAAAAATTACCATGGTATTTAAATGTCTTTTGTGTGGTAATTTGAAAAATAATAAATACATGAAGTCTTAAGACCAAGTGAAAAATATAATCTTCAGTTAAAAGCAGAAGAAGGTGTTAGTACCAAGTGAAAAAGCTTCTTGATATAAAGAAAAAGTAAATTCTAACTAATTGGTTACAAATACTTAACCATAAATGCTCATTTTGAAATATAACTGCTTACTCTTGGATTTTAGTTTCGGAGTTCATTTGCCTCAGTAGATTCTCACTCCCATGGTACCAGGACAAGTTCCAGGCTATTCTCAGCATATCTGACACAGGCTTCAAGGCCAAACAATCAGCAGACAATGGCAAAACTACTGAGTAAGGGCTCACAGCGTGGTGGCCATCTACATGTACCGGTAGATGATACCTAGGGAAAATGTATACAAATAATTACAAACTTCACATATTCTCAGATAGTATTCAAAAAGATGGGCCACAAACTGGGTTAGCTCTATGCTTCCTGTTACATAACAATGAAGAGATCTCTCCCACAATTCCTCTTTCTAAATTATCATGGTTTATACAATGTTTTAATTATTCTTCTACTCCCTAAACTACCAAAAAACACATCATTTAACTGCTCCCTGAGGACTTACTACATCTTATATTATACTCAACTTGTTACAGAAATATCTAACACTCCTGAAGTCAGAGTCCATGTCACAGCAAACCAAACATAAAAGTTTCCAGCTAAAACATGCATGCCTACTCTCTGTCAAATGTTCTTTGTTCCATTCCATTCATTCCCAATTATAAGGCATGGTACCCATTTTCACAGAAGATCAAAATAAGACTTTTAAAAGATGCTAAAGGAACTGCCTATCATCAGTGGGCAACAAGTGACTGAATTCCAACTCATTTTCTCTTAAGAGCACAGGTGCATCATCAACAAACTCAACAAGAGAACCCAGAAATATTTTTAGATAAAAGATGAAATGGAACAGCAATTCCTTTTACAATTAATTTAGCAGGACAACCCTGCCTAGAATATACAAATGTTAAAGAATAATTTTGCTAAATGGGCATCTGAGATGAACACACACTTCTCAGATGAACAAATACAGACAGCAAATAAATGTATGAAAAATGCTCAATATCATTGGTCATTTGAGAGATGCAAATTAAAACAACATTCAGAGTCCATCTCACCCCAGAAAGAATGGCTGTCAACAAGAAATCAACCAACAACAAACTCTGGCAGGGCTGTGGGGAAAAATATATTTTCCAAAGTTTTATCCCATACAGTATCTTCTGATTCCAAAAACGACTGAGGCCTAACACAGCACACATACAACAGTATTTCAGAACTTTTGGTAGCCAAATGGGGATAGGAATAAAATAAATAAATAAATAACATTTAGGTCTGCCAAGGGAAAGGGAGAATAACTATTCCAACCTACAAGTATAAATTCCTAAAGAATTATGCTCATGAGCAAAACAGACCTCCTTTTACAAAGACTGAACCCCAACCCTGAATCAGCTCAGTCCAATCCTTAGTTAAATCAAATTCCCTTGCTCACAGTCTAATGGCTGCCAGGAGAAAATTCAACCATCTGTGAAGGAAGAGACTATCTCCATAGTCTCTTTAATTTTTCATAAGCTACGTGCACTATTCCATTAAAAATCACTACACTTGCCAGGACAGAATAAAATGAACTATGGCTTGATACTGGAGATTGCCCAAAGGTCCACATATTAAAAGGTTGACACCCAAGGTGGTATTCATGGGAGGTGATGAAATATTTAGGAGATGGGACCTAATGGGAGGTTCTGATGTCACTGGAGGTGTCCCGTAAGGGGGACGGTAGAATCCCAGGCTCTTCCTCTTCCTGTCTTATGATAGAAGTGGTTTTGTTTCATCATAGTCCTGGCATAATATGATATCCTTACCAGAGGCACAAAGCTCAAGGGGCCATCAGTCTTGGACTGGAACCTCCAAAACTATGAACCAATAAACCTTTCTCTCATAAAATGCCTCATTATAGTAATGCAAACCTGATTGATACAAAATAACTGGCGGAAAAAAGTTACAGAAATAACCAATATGTCAGAGAAGAATCGGATACTGACGTTATCAGACAAGAACTATAGAAGTGACTGTAATTAATGTTTTCAAGAAAAGCACTGCATGACAGATAATTTTATCAGAGAACAGAAATCTATAAACATAATCTAATGGAAATTTTAAATATGAAAAATACAATTAAAATTCAAAACTCAATAGATAAAGTTAACACTGTACTGGTCAGAGCAGAAAAGTATCAGAAAACACGCTATAGGAAAATAATCAGACTGAAGCAAAAGGAGGAAAAAATGCAGAAAGAGTATCACATGTAGGATATACGTGGTTCACGAACTTTATTTTGTTTTTTGGGGGGGAGTAACTGGTAATCGAACTCAGGACCTCACGCTTACCAGCCAGGCACTGTGCTAAGCCCCAGGACCCCTTGTTCACAAACTTAATTCACTCCACAACTCTGGAAAAGACGGCCACATTCATATTCGCACAGGAAAGATAGCCAATCATGTTCATCATTGAATGAAGAGTTCACAAACAAAAACAAAATTTTGCTGAATGATTTGTTTGCAAACCAAACTATTCACAAACAAAAGCATTTGTGAAATGCAACACCACTGTAGTTGCTCAAAATTTTTTCATTGGGAAGCACTGGGCTAAGGTAGCTCTATGTACCTACATAAGCAAACTGAGATTGTATAGAAACAATAATTCAAAACTAGAAACTATCAATCAGAAAACTGCCACAAAACCTTTAAATAGGGTCTTTCCATGCTCACCAATCAAACATATTTTCTCTGTCTTACTTGTGTGGCAGGCTATAAAAGTCCACGGCCCACAGTGCAGCAGTGAAACTCTCTGAACCTCTTGGTGGTTCTCAGTGCAGCTGATTCATAAATCAGTCCTTGCTCCAATTTTTCTTTTAACATAGCAAAATTATCTCAAGTACATGTAATCAGAATTTAAGAAAAAATAAACAAAACTGGGCAAAAGCAGTTTGAAAGAGATACTAGCTAAAAAATTTTCAAACAGCATAAAGAACATCCACCTCAATTCAATGTCGTATGAGTATTAAGCAGAATAAATACAAAAAATATATATATACATAGACTTATCACAATATAACAAAGACAGAGAAAATTTTAAAGCAGCCAGGAAAAATCAAAAAGCAACACACACATGAATACTGCTTCAATAATGAACATGTGAGGCCGTGATGGCAAAACTTCTAGAGCTTCCAGTGCTAACAAACAGCCGGCTGTGGCAAAGGTTCACACCACTGATGTAAGGTGTGCTGGGCCACAGAGGAAGGAACATCTATGGAACATGAAGGAAATAGTATATTTTCTTCAAAGAAGCAACAATACAAGTGATAACTAACTTTTCAACAAAGAATGGACTCCAATTGGCAACCCAAAACTCTATGACTAGTGAAAATATTCTTTAAAACTGGAACAAAATGATTTTTAGAATACCCACACTCTGGGAGAAATCAGGTGAAATCATTGCCAATATAACTGCACTAAATTAAATCATAAAGGAATTCGACAAAAAAGATAAAAAATAAATCTCAGATGGAAGTAGAGAAACCCAAGAAAAAATGAAGACTAACAGAAAGGTCTAACATATATAAATCTAATAAAAAATGTTCTTAAGTCCTTACACTGTTTTAAATGTAGAAAAAATAATTTCTACTTCAAGAAATACATTATTGCTTAATCTAGAGATTTTAATAATATAGTATATATGCTCTATATTCTTTTATATAGATTCTGTTATATATATCATAAAAAGCCTCATAAATACTTATAATATTGTGTTTTTATATAAAATATACAGAATATATAAAAGAATATTTATAAATGTACAGTTACAATCTAGCAACTGACAAAAATAGAATAATTTTTAAAAGTAATCCAAAAAAGCAAGAAAAAAGAAAGGAAAAACACTCACATTGGATGGGTAGAAAACAGATAACAAATATGTATCCAAAAATATTAGCAATTATAGTAAATGTAACATATATTAAAATACTACATTTAAAGGTAAATATTGTAGGATTGAACAAAAACTACATAGTTCTTTGAAAAAAATTTAAGGACACAGAAAAATTAAAATCACAAGTATGGAAAAACATACCTGTTATAAATCATTAGCCAAATAAAAGCTATTAAAGCTATCCAAGCAAAAGATAAAGTAGATTCTAATGAAGAAAAGCATTGTGAGACAGCTAATATTCTTACACTGCTCATTAGAATGTAAACTGGTACAATCATTTTATTATATTGTTTGGTAGTATCTAGTACACAAAATATAAACACCCTTTATCCTGGCAAGTAGACATGTTCAAGAATGTTCTTAGCAGTCATTTGTTCATAATATTCCAAACAAGAAACTAAAGTGTCCATCAGCAATACATGTAAGTAAACTGCTATATACTCCCATAGAGAATACTTCTTAACAGTGAGAATGAACCAATCGCTGCTTCCTGGAATAGTATAAACAAATTCCTCCAAGTTGAGCAAAAGAAGCAAAACACAAAAATTCACTCTATTACACAATTTAAAAAACAGCAAAAACACTGTACAGTAATAAAAATTGAAACAAGATTCCTTTTTGAGTGGTAAAAGGCAATGAAAAAGTGAGAAAATGGCTAGTAGTAATCTATTATCATACTTTTCATGTTAGTTCCATGGCTATACTTATGAAAAAAGTATCTGGACTTTATGCTTTATGAATTTTATACATCAAGTACATAATACATAAAGAAAAATAATTTACTTTTTAAAAACGTCTACATAGGAAACCAAAGGCAATGCATAAGAGCCAGTATTTTGGTTTTTCTTTGTTTGGTTGGTTGGTGGTTTTTTGAGACCCACCAGGTAGCCTTGAACTCACTATGTAGCTCTTGCTGGCCTCCAACTCGTGGTGATCCTCCTTCCTGCCCGTCCCAAATGCTGGGATTACAAACTTCCACCACTATACCCAGCAGGATCCAGTATTTTCAAAGAGTAAATCATGTCTGAAATTTTCAAATGGTTGAGGGAAGATAGTAAATATAAACTTAAAAATATATTGGAAGAGAAAGCAAACAAACTCATACGTTAAGAATCCTTGAAAAGCCAGGTGGGGTGACACTCCCCTGTAATCCCAGCACTTGGGCAGCTGAGGCATGACGATCTTTTCAATTTTGAGACCAGCCTGGGCTACAAAGAGAGCTGAAGGCCAGTCTAAACTACATAGCAAGACCTGGTCTCAAAAGGAAAATAATAATAATAATAATAAAGAATCGTTGAAAGGTATTAAGATATAGACTGTATATAGTTCTTTCAGTTATTCTGTGCTATTTTCTGAATATTTGAACATCAGAATAAAAAGTTGGTGGGTAGGGATGTAGTTACTAAAAGCTCAAAATCACAACTGTGAAGGAAATATGAAAGAACTGTAACTTATATGATTTAAATGCTAAATAAAAATTGTAACAAATTATAGATTGTGTTTTCCCTTTAGGTAATAATATTTCACCCTTCAAGAAAATTAGATAAATAAATTTTTTACCTTCTAAAAACTGAAATAGGCAAACTGAAGGCTGACGGTGAAGGTTCACTGGAAGGGTTAGCAGACCTATTTCATAAAAGAGCAAAAGGAAAACAACAACTGAGTGGACCAAAGGCTTATGTAACACAACCTGCTTTACTTCTCGGACTGCAAATGGATCTATCACCTAGTGTAATTACATGCGTGCAACTACCTGGATTTGCTTTTGAGGAATTATGCTTTTCTTTTAAAAATCCCATAAAATACACAATTCATACAACTTGGTAGATGTATTAGCAACTGGTCTTTGTGTTCCTCTTCTACTAATGCTGCTCAAGATAAATGTTCATCAGGTATTATTATCCTTAACATCTTCTTTTCTAAATAATAGAATACTAAAGAAAAAGCCACCAAATTGAATGTATGTACTAAAAAAATATGCAAAACAAACATCACTGCTTTCGTTTTTTTAATTTTGTTGCCAATAATGTTCAAAAATAAAGTTTTATGGCAATTTTATGAGCCAATATGCTTTGTAATAATGCTTACTCAAACCAAAAGTCAAAGTAATGTGTTTCCCCTAAAATAAAACCTAGCCAGAAAATAATTAGCCTTGAAAATTAGAGATCAAAAAATGCCAACCCCATGGTGCACACCTATAATCCCAGCAATCAGGATGTTGAGGCAGGAGGGGCTCTGAGTTCAAGGCCCGCCTGGGCCACAAAGTGAGTTCAGGGCCAGCCTTAACTGCAGAGGGTGATCTGCCTCAAAAAAGACAAAAAAAGAAAAAACAAGCCAGCTCCAAACAGCCTATCCTTGCTTTACCTGCCATCACTGTTCTCTTGCTCGGTGGCTACTCTGTAAGGCAGGTAAGGCAAGGATAGGCTGACTGGGGCTGGTATCTTTGATCTCTAGGTTTCAAGGCTAATTATTTCCTGGTAAAGACTTATTTTGGAGGAAAAAAATGTACATATATCCAATACGGAGAGCTTCATAAATCAAAATTCCCCATGTACTGCTAAAAGACTGCATTGGAAACTTTAGATTCATAATTAAGTATAAACTATTTATCAGTCCCTATATCTCACCACATATCCATTCTTGATACTTCATCAAACAGCAGAAGACAAAACAGTGCTCCAACTTCAGTCACTATTGTAGAATCTTCATGAAATATCAAGGAAACTGAATAGAAAGGAGGATACCTTTATGAATATGTTTACTGTTAAAAAGAATGAATTTCAAATTTATGTTTTATCAGTGTATGTTTGTTACATAATATATAATGGAAAAACTGAAAGAAAATATTAAATAATTGTAAGAGTTCTGCCTATGTTACAAAAACAAATCTTTTTACCTATGTTACGAAAACAAATCTAACAAGTCACTAAAAAGAAACTAAATATAGCAGAAAAATAAGCATTTCATACAAAAAGTTAGAATCCATAATTTTAAAAAGATAATACATTTCTCTAAAAATAAATAGAAAAAAACATAATGTCATATTAATTTTCTTTAAATTAAACATATTTAGTGGTGGCAAAGTTGTGAAGAAAGTGAACCTTTTTCTTATCACTGGAGGGAATGATTTGGAGAGAAACTTAACCATATTTTATATAATCTATTTGATCCATCTATTCCAATTACAATGTAGGAAAAAAGATGACCATACAGATCATACTATAAAAGTGAAAAATCTGAAACAAAATCCAGTAAAACTTTGAAACACTCTATGGTAGATTTGCAGGTTTTTAAGCACATACATTCATATACAATATGGAAAGATATTCAAGATCATTTTTTCCTGAAAAAAGAAACAATACAGTACTATTATGTAGTTTGAGAAATACAACATGTACAGATAAGATCACTGTAGATAAAATAACTAAAATATTTTAGTGATAGAAGAAAATGAAAACAGAATTTTACTTTGTATAGTTTCACACTGTCTCAAATTTTACAATGAGAATGTATTAATTTGTCATTACTTAAAAACAAATAAGCAAAGGAGAGAATATCTGAGTTCTTCTCCTGCCTCCACCATATACCCAGTCATGACTCCAGCCAAATTAATAAATCTCTTTAGGTCTCAATTTTCTCACTGTAGGATGGATAGTATAACAAATGATAGTTATAAGTTTCTAATCTTGAAATATAGCACTAAATTGTGTCACGACATAAAGTTTATAATTCAAAGCAGTGTATCTGAGAGGCTGCTTAGTTATTATACCCCTTCAATATATTTTTCACATCATAGATGGAAGAATTTTTCTAAAACATAGATGCCCCCACTTAACAATGCCAAATGGCTCCTCACTGCTCCCACCAGAATAAGCATGAACTGTCTTCCTTGTGTTGTCCCACCACCTACCCCTTATCCCAGACACCTCCTAATCCAGCTGTTCCCTACCTAACCACATGTCAAACACACCATTCTTTCTCAGATATAACCATGGCTCCCTCATTCTGGAAGTCTAAATGTCCATTTGAAACTATATCCATTTCTGAAATTGTAGCTTAGATGCCAGGCTGCCTGCAAGCATTAAACAAGGCCCACTACCCAGTTTATTCAGTACCGCCTCCAGTGCCAGGGATCTCATGATATGTGTTAATATGCTATAATTTATACTCATGTGTTAAATCTCTGACTCTATTTTAAGTTCTCTGGGAGTCTACTTGCCCTTCTTGGCAAAGTAACTCAGGGATTAGCACTCAGTATGTGGTCAGTAAGTACTTGCTGAGGATTGGATTTTCCTGGCTGAGCAGCTGGTTAAAAAATTAATCTTGCCCAGAAACTAAATCCATTAGTGAAAAATATTGTGATTTTGTTCAGATTCATTTAAGCAATTTTTGCAGACAGTAAAGAGATAGAATAGTTGTTAATACTGAAAGAGTACAGACTGTGTTGCCATTGAAACTACTTTTGAATCTAGTAGATACTAATAAGATCAATGCTTTAATAATTTAAATGAAAATTATAAATGAAAAGGTAAACTAGAGACTGAATTCAATTGAATGAGGCTAATAGGGAGAGAATTATTAACTTGAATAAAGCAAACTAGAAAACCATAATTGTTGCTCTTTCAGATATCACTCAATAAGAGCTTATAAATATTTTATACTCTCCTTAAAATTTTAAGCCTAAATACAATTACCTGGTTTTGAACTTTTACTAATGCTAGAATAAACTGTATCCTATTCTCTTAGCAAGCAAAACTTAAGAAAAATATACTAAAATAACTATATTCTAATAATATTTTTTGAACATAAATCTCATTTATCTTCTGTAAGACTGACAAAAAAGTTAAGAATACTGAGATATTTGATCAAGATGCCTCTTGCAGAAAACTTAAAAGCAGTAACCTAAACCTCTCAAAAGCAAAATTCTGTAGTATGTTACCAAAGTCTCTATTGAGAACAGTCAGAGGAGGAAAAACAGACAAAACTACATGAGATTCTTTTTATCCAAACATGTTACTAAATGAGAATCATATTAAAATAGATTTTAGAAGAAAAACCACACTTTATAAAATAGAAGCAATTTATGCTGAGAGTCACTCAGGATGGTCTAGTTTCCAAAACTCGCAGGTTGGATTGATCATCTCAGTAACAATCTAAAGACAATCAGATACTACCAAAAAAAAGGAAAACCAGTTCCAGGATATGATGCCACAGCAAAACAAGGAAAAAAAACAGACACTGAAAAGAGGAAGCGATGACAGCAGTTGCATTTTCCTCTCTTTCTGGACCATCATTTACCATCTGCGAATCACAGGCTATCTCTACATTTACATAATCTTAAAATTTCCGAAAGATATTTAAGAAGAAGTATATAGAAATCTTATTTTCAGGGAAAAGTAATTCTCACTACTGCAAAGAGAAATCAAGGAGGATTCAGCTTTTCTCATCTCTAAGGTCCACTCAGTATCAAGATTACAGGGAAGGGGCTGGGGATTTAGCTCAGCGGCAAAAGCGCCTGCCTGGCAAGTGCAAGGTCGTGAGTTCGGTTCCCGGTACCGGAGGAAAACAAAAAAAAAAAAAACAAGATTACAGGGAAATGTGCAGAGTGTATTAATGGCTGATGATGAGTTTATAATCTCACAGAAGTAAGAAATTTTGTCATTCTCTTGGTAAATGGAAAGTAAGTGTCACCTACAGTTGACGAATAAAAATTTTTAAAGCTAAGGCTGATATCATTATCAACAATTTTATTTTACTCACCTCTGAATAACAGGATCAAGACAGAAGACTGTTGTGAGAGGGACACACGCATGAGTGGGTCAGCATACAAAACCTTTCTCAGGAGCGTCAGGCATGGCCGAATCAAACATTCTACAACCTGGCCGGGAAGGAAAAGACATAGTTATTTTATTTTTATCAGTTTTGAGGTGAGACTTAAAAAAAAAAATACTATCCTATTCTAAATGTATGCTTTTGTCATTAAAATTAGTTGAAACTCAATCCAAATAAATATTGAGTAATATAAAGTAATATAAATTACTTTAATATAAATTACTTTAATATAAATTACTTTAATATAAATTACTTCCCACTGAAAACAAGATTTCTACATACTTCTACTTAAATATCGTATGCAAATTTAAAGATTAGTTTTTCTTTACACAGACTTTGTCTTAGAAATTTTTTAAAAAGAATAAGATAATGGATATTACTTAGGATTAAGACCAAGTATGTATCCAAATTCACCTAACCTCAATTTCAGACTTGATTAATGACATTAATCTACAAAAAAATACATCTAACCATTAGTCTTACCTTGCCATCTTGACTTACACATTCATTTAAATATTCAATTATCTTGTCAGTTAAGCATAACTTTTTCACCACAGCATGCATTTTAATATCTATAAACAAAAAAGTTATTAAAAGTTCAAATACATTTTCATAGTTTTAAAATATATTTTTGAAATGTATGTCAGGTATCCACACAACTTTCAAACTATTAATAATAATTGTGCCTAGGATTGAAATTAGAAGATAAAACTTCTAACTTTTAAATTTATATATATGTCTTTATAAAGTGAAAACATTTAAGTAACCAGCACATTTTACTTCAATAATGTAAGAAACAAAACTGTGAAAAAAATATTTATGGGAACTAGTTTAGATACTTCTTTTTATAAATAGATCACCTCAAAATATTTAGATATAGCATGCAGCATGAACCTTTTTCTACTTATAAAATATCTCGATTCTAAAACTATTAATAGAAAATACAAAGGGAAAGATATTTTAATGTATTCTGTATATTTCTGAAGAGTATGAACTCTTAATAAGCATATATTCATATATTATATTTGTAATAAAGTTGTAAGAATTTTAAGCACACACATACATAATGCTACTAGAACCAGAAACTCCTAGTTGTTTATGCATTGATGGCAAGTATTTATTTAACATCTTATAAATTTTCTCCTATATTCTCATTGAGAACACACACACACACACACATACTGATATTGAATAAGTGGCTTTCATTATACTACCTTCAACTGCTACTTTAAAAAGGTTTCTATTACCTCCAGTACTTACTGGAAGCCAAATTAAATTGCATTTTTTAAATGTCAACAATGTTGAAGGAATACTGTCTAAAAAAGATTTGTTTTCTAACCAAGGTTCTTCACATTTTTTAGAGCCTTATTTTCTGTAGTCTGTATTACTGTTATTAGTACTACAAATATGTTACTGTGAATGGTGCTTTATTAACATAAGAGTGTACGTATCTCTTCAAAATACTGGCTTCTTTACCTCTAGATATATATTCAGAAGTAGGATTGCTGGCTCATATGGGAACTGTGCTTTTAATTTTTTTAAAGAACTTCTCTATTGTTTCCTATAATGGTTGTACTAATTACATCCCCACCAAAAATGTGTAAATGTTCTCATTTGTCTATACCTTTACCAAAATTTGTTCCTCTTTTTGATAGTTTTTCCTCAATTTTTTCTCTTTATGATAACTATTACTCTAACTGGAGCAAGCTTACATCTCACTGTGGTTTGGTTTGCTTTGTCTTTTTGAGACGGGTTTCACTATGCAGTTCAGGCTATCCTTGAACTCACTTTGTGACCCAAGCTGGCCTCAAACTTGCAGCGATCCTTCTACCTCAGCCTCCCAAGCACTGCGATTACTGGCATGTGCCACCATGCCCAGGTTCTCACTGTGGTTTTGATTGCATTTTCCTTGTTGGTTAGTGATGGAGAGAATTTTTTCATCTATCTATTAGGTATTTGTATGTACTCTTGAGAAATGCCTACTCAGATCTTTAGCTTGTTTTTTAACTGAACTGTGTCATCAAAAACACTAAAATTTTAAAAATATAATACTGAACATGTTCTTTCAAATTACTCTCTCATCCCAATATCCACTAAAGTCAAGAGAAAGACTGTTAACCATAAAAATCTTTATGTCGTGTAAGTGCAAAGTTATCTTTTCTCACAAATATTGAAGTATACATAACAGAAATAGGGAAAAAGTAACATAAAAAGGAACCAAGAGAATGGAAGACTATAGAATAACAACACAATAAAGTTAATAGCTTATTTTCTAGTTGTACTTAAAAAAAGACTCTTAAAGAAAATATACAGCTATAGCATATTATTTTTATTTTATCTACCCACAAACATACTGTTTGATTCATTTCCTAAGCAAGATGTACAAATTGAACATCACATACTAGGTAAATGGAGAGGGAAACTCCATTTACTTTGAGAAATCTATTGATATCTTAGAAGATAATTCTACCAAGTGACAATCTATAGTTTAAATAATGATAATCTACTAGTCCAGCAAACTTTTTCTGTAAATAGGCAGTAAATATGTTCAACTTTGCTGTTCACATATGGTCTCTTTTGCATATTCTTTGGTCTTGGTTTTGTTTCTTTAAAGATGTGGAAACTATTTATAGCCTGACGGGTAAAGAAAAACAGGCCACAAGTTGGATCTAGCCTATAAATCACAGTCTGCTACCCTGACACTAATGCACACCACAATATCAAATCCTATGGCAACAGTACAGTAATCACTTCCCTTACAGATGGTACCTTGCATAATCACAGCTAACTGTTCTGCAGCTGACTTTCTCAAAACAAGATCAACATCATCCGAGGTGAAGATTTCATATACCTTCTCAACAGTCTCCAACTACAAATAAAAAAAAAAAAAAAGGAAAAAGGAAAAAAGAAAATTATATTTCGTGTGCTTCTGATTCCACAACAAAATTTTATAGTTAGGGTAATAACTAGATATATCAATTACTGTTATTACCTATAGTTAACTGATATATTTATAGGTTTTTTTTTTTTTTTTTTTTTTGGTTTTTCTCCGGTACCAGGAACCGAACTCACGACTTTGCGCTTGCCAGGCAAGCGCTTTTGCCGCTGAGCTAAATCCCCAGCCCCCTGATATATTTATAGGTAAATGTGTAACAATGATATACAAGGTCTAGGAGGAGTTTAGGATCTAAAAAAAGAGGTGTAATGCCAAATCAGCCTCCCATTTTAATGTGTACTTTCACTAGGAAGTCATTCATAACCCAACAATCCATTAGCTCCTTAAGACCATCATAAAAACATTCATGCTTCCTAACACCTCTACTAGTCACCCTGAAAAGGGCCAATCCAGATCTATGACTCAGGATATCCTTGTGCTCCTAGACGCAGCCCACTGACCATGGACTAAAATCTCTGAGACTAAGAGCCAAAATAAATCTTTCCCCTCATGTTTTTTCTCAGATATTTTGTCACAAAGGTAACTAACAGTCAAGGACTGATAATGCCCTCCTTCATGGCAGGACACAGTATGAGACAGCAAAACCAGAAATAGAGAAGGACAAAGATGACATTCTTTCTTACTTTCACCCAATGCTATCTTCTAACCCTTCTATGGACTCACAAAAGACAGTTCCAGAATTTTCCCACTTCCCCTCCCTCCAAATTACACATATATATATATATAGTTAAGGAGTGTATGAGTGGGTTAGTGCTGAGTGATCTCTCCAACTGAACCTTGTATATAGCTGGTAGAAGACTCTCCAGTCCTCTTTACTGGGCTGCCATACAGCCCTAAACATTAGGTCCAAAAAAGTACTGAATATGTTTACCCATTTAAAAAAATAAAAACAAAAACACATCTTAGCTGGGTATGGTAGAACATGACTGTAATCCAAGGACTCTGAGAGACTCAGGCAGGAAGATCACAAGTTCGGGTCAGGGCAATTTAGCAAAACCCTGTCTCAAAATATATTCAAAAGGCACTGGGCAAAAATCCTAGGTTCAATCTCCAGTACTAGCAAAAAAAAACAAAAACAAAAACAAAAAACAAAAAAAAAATACAACCAATAAAACCCAAACCACTATATTACATGTGGCTCTATGCTATTATCATTAGTGGTATTGGAAAGCTAATATAAATTTAAATAACAACTGCCAGATTATGTACTCAAAGTGAAATGTGAAGCGATGAAGCACAGAAATGAATCAAGGAAGATTAATCTTTACAGAATTCTGTATCAGTTCAGTATGATGCAGGTATGGCCCTGGTTAAAAACAGGGAAATGGATACTGAATTTGTAAAGGTATATAAATAACCAAAGATTTAGAAAAAATATTAACAAAAATTCTTAGAGTCATTGTAAGAGACTGCTTTTGTATACTGTATTATTTTTAAGAGAAACTGCTTTTGTATACCATATTATTTTATTTATTTTTTGTATACTGTATTATTTTTAAGAGAAACTGCTTTTGTATACTGTATTATTTTTTTCTTCTGTAGTTAAGAGGCTGAAACTTTTGTCTTTTTTTTTTTTTTTTGCTATTATAGGCAATTCCAACAAAAAAAGAACTCAACAGTTTTTAAGTCAGTGACATTTTCTTTAAAAAATTATCACAAAATTTCTTTTCACTATTTTACCTTACCCTGTATTTAAGATACTACTCAAAATAATTTGCATCAGCATTATAATACAGTGGCATATAACAGGTGCTCCAGAAATATTCAATAAACAAACGCATCCAGATGAACCCAAAACATAATTTCACAATGTAGAATACTAAGCAGTATACAATCACAGGGAATTACAGGGGACCTCAAAACATATTTTCAAATTTGACATGAATCATGACTATTACATGGAAAACACAATCTGAACAATGTCACATAAATTATGTGATATACAAATATATGAAATAATGACATAATTTAATAAACTCAAAAGTTATAGTCACCTTAATAACCAGTTCTCTTCTGTCATCCAATCTGAGTTCAACAGGTTTTTTCACAATAAATAAATTAGTAACTCTGGAGAGAACTCCGGCATCTATTACAGGGCGCTTTGTATGAGCCCCTTCTTCATGTGTAAGATGAAACGCTAAAAGTTTTAATGCTAGTGAACGAACCCTAAAAACACAAAGTCAGTCAATGTTTTGGAAAATATAAATGTCTACAAAAAAGGTTACAATTGTAAAGAATCACTGTATTTCAACAAAGTATAATAATTACTCATATTTATAATGACCTTACAAATATTTTCCTTTTTCTATTAAAAATCTTTCATATATAACCAAAATTCAACTTTATAACACTTATAAATGTCAGGAACAAAGAATAATCAATAATTACAAATGAAACAGATACTAAATACCACACTCAATTTCAGTAAGTCAATCTGCAAATTTAAATGTAGTGTTTTATCTCGACCATAAAAAGTATTACAGATCCATGAGCAGAGTCCAAATAATCAGCCAAAACTCTACAGTACTAGAGGTACCCTATACTAATAACTGAAGCATTATATTAAAATGTATAAAGACTTTTATAGTAGATTCTTCTCAAATATGAAAATTCCTGTTAAAATCCTGAGAATGCATTAGGATTACAATCTGTTAAATGAGGATGGCAAGGATTTTTAAGAAAAGACTCAGTACAGCTTGCCAGGAGAGACACGGATAGAAAAACAGAAAATCACCAGGTATACAAAGGTCCCTAGTGGGAAGTATTAGGATAACCAAATACCTGTCTTCCCTGTGCTTACTTATCTTGCCTCTAAACTTGTTTCTCTTCTCAACAAGAAAAAAATCTAACCGCTGTTTCCTAAGCACAGCAAAAGAAGATTCATGTCACAGTTAATATAAAAAAAAAGGAAAGCAATATATTTCGCCTTTTCTTTTAGTTAAAATGACATATGAATAATGGTCAAGGAAAGGCCTTTTTTTAACTCCCAAATAATAGCACAAATTGAGTGAAATTAAGTACCTGAATAACTGCTTTATGAAGCAGCTGACCCAACATACTTTCCTGGAAAACTTAATTTGCAGAACAGAGCTTAAAAAAGGATCATTCCAGGAAACTAACAATTCCTAAAGAGAAGAGAAGATGGGCACACCCTGTAATTTTTACAAACTGTCTATCTCCACGACTCTCCAACATGCCTACCTTGACTACTCTGGCAAGAGATAACTAGGCTGCCCAGTGGATGAAGTGTTTCAGGAAAGTATCTAAAAGATCTTTTATCTGCTCAGTTGCACACAGGTGCTTAGCTCCATCTAATAATACAGAGCAACCTCCCTTTAAATGCTTTTAGCTTAGTTAAATGCTTTCCTAGAATGTTTCCATTAATCTTTTATATTCAAAAGATTATGCTGTACTCACGATGGCTTTTTCACTAGCAAAAGTCGCAGCATGAACTTTAACTGGGTAGTACAGGGAAGAATCCCTTCTCCTGCCTCAGAACTTGCTTCACTTAAAAGAAGGATGGAGTTACCGAAAGGATCTTCTGGGTCAGCATAGCCCTAATAATTTTTTAAAAGAGAAATTATTGTTTGACTTTATTCATGTTAACTTTTCAACTTGAAAAGAATAATTGCCTGTCATACAACTCATAACTTTTTTCCAATTAAGCTGAGTCCCTTTTCAGAATAATCTAAATTAAGTAAGGTTTCTAAATAAAACCACATTGATTAAAAAAAGAACTATATTTTAAAAATAATACTAGAAAATTTCACAACAGTTTACCAACCTTCTTGATATTTGCTGATTTCTTTATTTTCCAAGATCCTAATAGCAGCATCTTCCACCAATGAGGCATATTATAGATCCTCAGTCCCCGTCCCCACAGTACAAAGATAGAATGCTACTAACACTATGTACACGACACCAGGACCCATGTGCCTCAAGGACCAAGGCTGAGACTTTCTGAAAAATGACTGCGCCCATGATAGTGTCTCCAAACTCTTTCATCCAAGGGAGATACAGACCTGAGCTTCCTATAAAATACTTTGCTTCCAAGTGCTTGTTAGTCAAGGTGGCATTCTCATCAGACATATGCGGGATTCACAGTACAAGTTAGTTACGCACTATCTGCTTAAAAAGCACTATCTGCTTTGTCTAAAAGCCTTTACACAGGTTGAGTTCTATTTTGCAGTCTATAATGTCTGCACCTCACTTCTTAAACAGCCATGCACCTAGATACATACAGCCCAAATGGACAAATTAGCTACCATTGTTTAACCTTCTGCCAGGAAACAAAACAGCCATCTACTTCCTGTTCATTTATCCTAAGGGCCACCACAGCCTCTCTTCATTTTTCTGACAACAAGACAGCTCGGCTGTTTGCATGCTTTTAATCACTCACAGTCAGTCAGAGATAAATAGTTATGATAAAAGGTGAATTGCACGGCATACCTGTAGTACTGGAATGACAGGACACAGAGACTCAATAAACTTGTTCCAGGTCAGTGCTGTCATCATCATTCGTCCCTGAAGCAGATACAACAGAATGGCCCTGGCAGCAGCATTCACCTGCTCAACAAAGCAAACACAATGATCCAGTAAGATGAGATGTCTGACTAAGTCATCTCACATACCTGTAGCTTTTTATAAAATCTGGAATGTGTTATAATTAATGTCTCATTCTGCAATTGTTCCTATTTCTAAAGCATCATCTTACATTCTCTTCTCAACCAGTTTTTTTCTCATAATAATTTCTGCTTCCAACCTTTATAAATTTGAAATGATATTCTTTCAATAACTGTTTTTTAGTTCTCTATATCTTAGATGAAAATCATAAATACACTGACTTAAATTCTTTTAGATCAGTAAGTTTTGCATTTCCAATCACATATTTTAACATTTCTTTTCATATAAATAATAACAAAACCAATATAGCCATAAGACGTTTCTTTTTAGTTCCTCATTGCATTACCCAGTTTTATTAGAATGCTACCTTGATTTAGCTAAGTACAGTAACCTTTGGCACTAATTTTTAACATATCATACCTCACTTCTGGGTTCTTGGATACCAAATGCAGAGATTTCATATAGAACTTTTGGGTGAAGTAGGAAATGAATTCCATTACAAAGGGAAGACACAGGTATAGTGACATTATGAACACCTAAACATTCCTGTAAAATAGTACAAAATTTTTTTAAAAAATTAGTAATACTAATTTTTACAAAAAGATTCTATTTCTTCTGTTTATAACTCACTTTCAATTTTAGTTTTCACTTTATTAAAACTTTTTTTTGTTGTTTTTTTTCCAGTACTGGCAATCGAGCTCATGACCTTCCACTTGCCAGGCAGGCGCTGTGCCACTGAGCTAAATCCCCAGCCCCAAAACTTTCTTAATAGAAGGTGAAAAAGTTAACTAACAATGAGTCTGTATAAGATATACTTTCTGTCAAAAAGTATAATCTTGATGAAGTAAACCAAATGGCTGTAACAACTACTATCTCTTAAAATTGACAGGTATAAAGTATATAAACAAAATAATAAACCTATCCTTAGTTTATTGGGGTTTGAGAAAGAAAAATAAATTTGAAATCAAAATACAAAGTATTGGGTAGAGGAAGGACAGCACATGAAATACAAGTAATGGCTCCATGTACTGTCTCTTAGACTAATTACAAGTTCTTTTCTCAATTTGTGATACGAACAATATTTTGTTAGAGGTGAGAGGAGGGAAAAAAAGCTACCAGAAATATTAATATAAATACAATACAAAAGCTGAAAATACAAGTTACATAATTTTTTTCATTCTGCAAATTACTACTTCCCACCACTACCAATAATTAGCTTTAACAATTATATATATGTATTTATATTATATACTTTTAATATTTATTCATATTATATATGTATTTGCTTATATTTATTTTTCCTCCTTAACTATTAATTTCACGCAACAATCTTGTATTCCTAGCATTTGAAAGAGCTAAAGCATCAGCCTTAAGGTTTAACAATACCTGTAACTTACTTCCCTAAGATATTTAACTCCCTAAGTCTCAGTTTATCCACCCATACAATTAGAAAAATATCATCTATAAGATCATCTATTCCCTAGTCCCTCAGAAAATGAGGCTCCTAGCTTTTAAAATCATCTCCACGCTGATGACTGAAAAGTTTACAATAAACTTGGCTCCATACTGCAAAGGTGATGTGGAGCACTACATGAGAATATGGGCTCTGGAGGCAAACTATCTGGTTCAAAGTCCCATTCTGGTTGAATGATTTTGGACAAACTCATAGCGTTGTTATGAGGAGTCCATGAGATAGCACACTCATAACAACCACGTGTATTGCTCAGTAAATGTGAGCTGCTCTGTCTTCATCATTATTGTTAGCATGATCATTATTACATTCTACAGTGTAACACTGCATTTGATATTTTTTTAAAGTCATGTCAAATTTAATTCAAAACAGAATTATATCCAATCCACAATCCCATATTTGGAAATCCAACTATGCTCTCCAAAATCCTAAAATTCATTCTTGTTTACTCTTTATCTTTCACTCTCCTTATCAGCAATTAGCTCTATGTCTATAACATAGCCTGAATTCACTTCCTTCTCTCCATCTCCCTCACACCATCATCTTTCAAAGTTACTACAATGGAGTGGGTCTTCTAGTCTCTACTCATGAGTCATGACAATTCATTCCACGCAAACAAAAAGCATCATTTTAGAAAGGTAATCAGATCAAATTTTCTTTCTGTTTAAATTACACATATATTCTCACTATACATAAATAAAAATTCAAAGCTGTATAATGGTTAGCAAAGCAATAAACTGGCCACTTCTGCCTATCTGTGCAACTCAACCTGGTAGCATTCTTTTCTCCTAGGATGTGCCACCTACACTGACCTTTTTGTCCTGAAATATGCAAAGTGCATTCTTATCTAAAAAGCATTTCATTGCTGTTTTCCCTGCCCAGAAGCTCTGTCTTCCTCCTTCTCTTTTCAGCCTGCCTACATTTGAGCCCACATTCCCTAGCTACTCTCTATTCCTTTATCCTTTTTCATTTTCTTCACATCATACACATTTTTAAATATATATTTTATTATATATACTTACCTCTGTATTCCCTATTTGTAAAAGGTAAGCTCTATGATCATAAGGATCCTTTCTATCCTTTTTACAATCCCATTACTAAAGTCTTGTATGTAAGTGTCTTGTATATAAGTGCAGAATGAATTTATATGTAAATAATGCAAAGTTGTCTTAAGATCATCCTTAAATAAGAATACCTCTTTCTCATCCCTTCCTCAGTGTAAATCTTAAAAGAAAAAGCAAGCTACCTACTCAGAAGTAAACTGCACATTAGCCCCATGCTCCTACATTTAGCAATGCCTGGGACATTTTGTCAAAGACAACAGAATAATATCATATGAAAATACTGTCAATTATAGTGAAATGCACACGCAAATACTTAAATCTAAAACCAGATAATATATCCTTTCAATACAGGGGACTAACTATAAGAAATTTCATTTGGAGCTTTTAACTTAAAGATTATTTTAGCTCCATAAGAATAAATATGTATTTATTTTATACATGTTATTAAATAGTTCAGTATCTTTTGTGAGAATTTCTTGCAATATTTTACAAGGACATTCTTCTCCCAACCCCACCTTTTAAAGCTAAGAGCTAAATTTGACTTTTAAAAACTCCTTCAACTTAGATTCAGATTATTTTCACAAAATGTGTATTACTGGGTTATAAAAATTATTAGAACTTAGTATTTTCAAAATCATTAATGGATTTAGTATATTCTTATAAAATAACAAATTCCAGACTGACACATATATCTGTGTTTTTGATATTTTTTCCTATTATTCCTCTAATAAATTAACATTCAAATAATTCCTATTTCAATACATGTAGCAAAATAGTCATATCTATCAACAACTTTATAATATCAAATTTTTGCCTACCTGAATATTTTTCTATTTTCTAAGAATTACTTAAAATGTATTTCAAGTAGCCAGGTATGGTGGTGCATGTCTACAATCCCAAGTACTTAGGAGGCTGAGGTAGGAAGAACACAAGTTCAAGACCAGCCTGTGCAACTTAGCAAGATCTTGTGTCAAAAAATAAAAGGGGTAGCACTGTAGCTTAGTGCAATGGCCCTCAATACTCAGTAGGGGAAAAAAAATGGGAGGGAGGAAGGGAGATATAACTCAAGCATCGTTTTCAATTTCTCAAATGTAGATGCTTAGCTTCTTGGCACCCTCATCTCAATGACACACATAAATTCTGTACCTCAGAAATACTTCAACTTAGTTTTTACTTGTTCTGCTCTACAGCAGATGTCCAATCTTGCCCAGTAACTGGCAGTATATCACTCTTTCACTCTAGTTCATAAATCCTTTACATTCTTCTCTCTAGTGTTCATATCCTTTGATTCTACAGTTTATCACTTCAACTATTTAGCTCATTTCCAACAACAGCCCTCCTTCCTTCCAACAAATTAAACATCTCAAGTCTTAATGGATATAAATGTTCGTATTCCCCAAAATGACAAATAGCAAGTCAGGTTCACACTGACTTTTCCTGAGTTACACAGCCCTGGCATGCCCACTTGCCAAGAAAGAGGGCTTAAGATTAGGACCAACACCAGCAAGCTGGCACCTTGGTTGTACTTTGGGGGTTTCTGACACCATTCTAGCCTCCTGCTAAATTTCATTCAGAAGCAACAGTAGTGGCTACTGCAGCTGCAGCTCTTTGGTTTTGGATGAGGTCAAGACAGGGCAAGAGGATTCCCTTAACCAGGGGTGCCAGTTTCATCTGGGTTTGCAAGGGCCTGTAAATATCTCTACATAAATCCATATGTGGTCAAAAAAAAAAAAAAAAAAAAAAAACAGCCTGAACTATGTATTGAGACCTGTCTCAAAGAAAGGAAAGAGGCAAATGTAAGTATATATATATAGAGAGAGAGAATACAGTGGCACCTCAGTTCACAAATTTAATTATTTCCATGAAACCAGTCACAGAATTCATTCCATGATTCTAGTTGCTCCCATAGTACATATGTACTAACAAAAGAATTAAGCCGGTGAACTGACGTACCACTGTACCAGGTTCCCATGCCCAGGTTGTACAGTACTTGTCTACCATATGTGAGGTCCTTGGTTCCATTCTCAGCACAACAAAATAAATAATAGATTCCTATACTAAAGATGACCTGACAATCAAAAATAACAGTATCTGCTAAACTCCACACCTTAAGGAATTTCAGTTGCCATAACAATGACAGAATTCTAAATAACAGAAAAATCTAAACACTATAAAATGAGTATTTTTAAAATTTATAATGACAAAAAGAAACCAGACTCTGAAAAAAGTGTAATTCAAAAAAAGAAACAATGTAAATATGTAGAAAGAAAAAACAGAATAACTGACATTGAAAGCTTGATCAATAAATTAAAAAGTAACCCTGATAAAATATAACTTCACACCTTCTAGGATGGTTACCATCAAAGGCAAAAACAAACAAATGAACAAAAATATCCAAAAACAAAAAATAATAAGTGTCGGTGAAGATGCAGAGAAACTGGAGCCCTCATGCACTGCTGGCTAGACATAAGATGCTGTAGCCACTTTGCAAAACAATAGGGTAGGCCCCAAAGATTAAATGCAGAACTATCATAAGATCCAGTAATTTCACTTCTGGTTATATGTCTTCAAAGAATTAAAGAATACTCCAAGAATTAAAAGGTCTGAATGAAATATCAGTACATCCATGTTCATAACAGCACTGTTCACAATAGATGGAAACAACCCAAATGTCCATTAGAGGATGAATGATAAAACTTGTTACACAAATACAGTGGAATATTAATTAACTTTAAAAATGAATGTAATTCTGATACATGCCAAAATAGGGAGACATTATACCTGAGGACATTACACTAATGCTGCTCAGGAGCTGGGGATGTAATTCTAATCCAGCTAAATTATTTCTCAAAAGTAAGTGAAATCAAGACATTTTTATATTCCCTTCAGTTAGACCATCATTGAAAATACTGAAAAATGCACTTCAGTACAAAGGAAATAGAATTTAAGTATTTATCAGTAAGTATAAGGAAGCAAATGCAACTTAACAATTAAGATGAGCAAGTTAAGCAGATCTCAAATCCTACTATTAAGTGAAGCAAACACTGGCCAAAACATATGTACAGTATGAAACTGTATTTCTTAAACAACAAACATTATATATTATTTATATATATAGTAAAAATATGTTTCAAAAAAGCATAGCTGGAAAGAGACACATCGACTTTATCAGTAGTTAGGCTGCGCTATGGGAAGAAACGGGGAAGAGAAAGGATAAATGCTTTCTCTGCAACTATATTTTATTCATGTGTATAAAAATAGATCAGAAATAAAAATGGCAAAATATACAAATTTTATACTCCTATAAAGAGTCAAATACAATAAAGCAATGCAATTATTAGCATTATTAAGTTAAGGGAATTTAATAGTATAGATTTCCTAGAACTGACTAATAATTACCATCTACTTTTATGGAATATGATTCTTAAAGCTCAAGTACAAAGTTAAGTAATTTAATTTTGAAGGTACAATACAGAAATCCACTATTAGTTCTCAAAAATACAAACAGAACAAAAACTTCACCTTAACAACTTCCAGACAGCTATTGTAAGTCTCAATTTTCACTTGTGGCAGTGGGTGAGATAACATATGCAGAAGCACCTTCTGACTCTCTCCTTGCAGTAATGGACTGGCCTGGGCAGATTTCCAGCTGGTAGAAGAGTAAAACATCCAAGACTTCTAAGATAAGGTACTAAGCAAAAGATTATAAAGCATATCAAAAGAGATGTCTTCCTACTCTAATTCCTCCAGATAGGTTCTAACTTAACAGATGAGTCCAAACTTAACTAAACATTTAATGGCTTCAGGGCAGAAAAATGTTTTTTCTTAAGAGTATCAAAAAACAATAAAAAACTCAAAATGCAAAATGTCTACATACATTTAAGAAAAAATTACAACAAATGAAACTTAAAAAACGAAATCATAAATTTAAGATATTATTTAAAAATGCAGTTAGTTAAGTATGTTTGAATAGATGGTCTACATTGGCACCAAGATGACATGCACAAAAATCCAAGGAGTATTCATTTTCATTATAGGCACGACCCTTTTAAAGTTTACTCTTGAATGAAACAGTTAACAATGTTAATGCATCTATCCATATACAGTTTGAAGGTCACATAAAAAATGATTTAAACTAAAAATAACAAAGAGCTAAGGTCAATTTCATTTACATTATTCCTATATTTACATACATGCATATACATTACATACAGTGCTCTACAGTACTATAAAAAAAGAAAATATTACATCTTTGAACAAATGCAGATGATTTCCTTTATTAGGGGAAAATGTTGATGATAGGAAAAGCTACGCAAGGCTTGGTCTGCAAGCTCCACTAATTCTAAAAGATTCTTCTCTCCCTAAAACAGAGGCAGAATAGAACAATGTCAAATTCACATACAATAACATTCTCCATTAAACTACTGGGAAGGGGTCCAAGCGATGTAGCGAGGGGAGAGAGAGGAGAGGGAAAAGGGAAGCAAAAGGAATTAAGATGTGTTAAGTATATGTACCAACTCCCACAATGAATGCAATCACAATATACTACAATCACGTATAATAATAAAAAAAAAAACTAAGCTACTTCAAGAAATTAGATTGCTCAGAGACTCTGAGACTGCTTACACTTGCTTAAGTCTACTTCCTCAACAAGTAACTTAAAATTGTCTGCCTCGGAGGAAAAATGTGGGAGAAACCCCTAGCTGAATGACACATGTTAATGTGCATTGTTTAACTCTGAGTGAACTTGAAGTTAAAAGGAGCTATCTAGTTCTTTGTGGTTCTACCTCCTTTACTAAAGGTAAGGCGAGTATATTTTATTATACATCTCCTCTTGTAACACCTGCCAGATTCTAGGAACACAGAGAATATTCAATATGACCACAGAATAATGCCACAGATATAATTCCCATTAGGGACACAATTTAAAATTTGATCAGAGAAGAGATAAGAAGCCAGAGGCAGGCCAGGTGTAGAAGTGCACACCTGTAATCACCTGTAATCCCAGCACTCAGGAACCTGAGGCAGGAGGATAGCTGTGAGTTCAAGGCTAGCCTGAACTACATAGCAGACACTTTCGCAAAAAAAAAAAAAAAACAAAGAAGTGAGTGGCATCAAGATATGTGAAAAGACAAGACAACATAGTGGGATATAAAGGAAATTTCTAAATATGGGGTTCAGATAAGACTTCACTGTAATGCCAAAAGAATAAGAATTTTGTCCCTAATTCTTTAATATCTTCAGGATCCACTGTGGTATTCTCCGAGAGTAAAGCACTATTGCAGTCAATGTCATCCCTAAGATTCATTAACTCTGTCACTGAAAACATACTAAATAACCTCCTAATGGTATTTTAAAAAGGAATAACTACTGATACATACTTATGGCTATAACATGGTACTTGAAGTTACGCATCTTATAAACCATGTTTTTCTAGCTGTATTTAATTTATAAAAAAATCAGGATTCTTCGTATAAATATGTAGCAAATGTCCATAGAATATTAAAACAGAATTACTTCTCCAAGTATGACCCTCATAATCCTGATAATATCAATTATCATTCAGGTCACACAGTGTAAATTACTTCATATAGATAGTCACTATTTGGTGTTGAGACATTTATAATAATTACTTTTTTAAACCACTGATATTATGAATATGTGACATTCATTAATCTAAAGCCTTCTTTACTTTTACATAAATCATAGCTTTACATTAATCTGATAACAGACCCACTCGATAATAATATATCCTTCCTCTAGCAATTCAATTGTGATATGTATATGACTTTGAGAAGGATTTTACCACAACAACCTTTAAAGGGGGTAATAACAGAACACTGTACCTCTTTCCCAACATCAGACAAGAAGTTACAGGTACACTCAATTGAATAAACAGCCTCCGAAGTTTGTTTATAAATTTTGTAGTTCTCGGAATTCAACTGTTCCAAATAGGCCACAACAGCTTCATGAACATTTGGATATTCCAAAGAAAAAGGCATGTCCAAAGAAAGAAGAAATAATGCTGCTGATATAGGCTCTGGTAAAAATTCACCTGCCTTGATAAATTAAAAAAAAAAAAAGTTAAAATTTGTTTTACAATATCACTCATAATAGCATCAAGAAAAATTAAATACTTAGGAAATAACCTAACCCAGAAACTGAAAGACAACTACATGAAAATTACAAAACTACAGTACTTTGAAAAGGGATATCAAAGAAGATAACAGAAAATGGAAAGTTACCCCTGTTTCCCGGACAGGCAGAACCAATGTGGTAAAAATAGCTATACTTCCAAAACTGATACACAGATTTAATGCAATCCTAATCAAAATACCAACAACATTCTCACAGAACTAGAGAAAACAATCCTAACATTCATATGGGACCAGAAGAAACCCAGGAGAGCAAAAACAATCCTGAAGGGGCTGGGGATTTAGCTCAGCGGCAAAAAGAGCCTGCCTGGCAAGCGCAAGGTCGTGAGTTCGGTTCCTGGGTCCGGAGAAAAACCAAAAAAAAAAAACAATCCTGAGCAATTAGAGCAAAGCAGAAGGCATCACAACCTGGACTTCAAGTTATACTATAAAGGTAATAATTAAAAAAAAAAAAAACAGCAAGATATTGACAAAAAAAGAGACATGTGGATCACTGGAACAGAACAGACAATACAAAAACAACTCCAGGCACATTCAGCCATCTGATCTTTGACAAAGGGGCCAAAAACATAGCTGGAGGAAAGACAGCCTCTCTAACAGATGATGCTAGGAAAACTGGTATTCAAATGTAGAAGACTGCATCTGTCACTGTGTATTTAAACAAAATCAAAATGGGTCAAAGATCTAAATGTTAAAACGGAGAAACTTAATCTGCTGAAAGATAAAAAGGTAAAAATTTGAAGTCATAGGTGTAGACAAGGACTTTCTGAGCAGAACCCCAACTGTATAAGAAATAACATCGAGTCAACAAATGGTATTATATCAAATTAAAATACTTCTGTACCAGAAATAACCAGTAGAATGAACAGACAACTTACAGAACAGGAAAAAATCTTTTGCTAGCATCTCTTCAGAGGACTAATATTTAGAATATATAAAGAATTCCAAAAGCTGAGATATCCCCAAATAAAAGACGCAACAAAAAAATGGACAAATGAAATGAATAGAGACTTCTCAGAAGAAGTATACATGGCCAAATATACATTAAAAAATGTGCAACATCTCTGTCCTTAGAGAAAAGCAAATTAAAACAACACTGAGATTCTACCTTACCCTAGATAGAATGGTGTTCATCAAGAAATCAATTAATAAATGTTGATAAGGCTAGGAGGAGAAAAAGGAACTCTTACACTGCTGATGGAAAGGTAAAATAGTATAACCACTTGGCAATCAGTACATAGATTCCTGGAAAAACTAAAATTAGAAATTCATTCCAATTGACCCAGTTATTCCCCTTTTGGTATCTTTCTAAGAGAATTAAAGGCATCACATTACAATGACACATGCACATACATGTTTATAACAGCACAACTCATAACAAACAAATTGCTAAATTTTAAAAGTAGACTATATGTATATTAGCAGACAAAGAGATTAAAAAATGTGGTATTTATACACAATGGAGTACTATCCTGGCATAAAGAAGGACAAATGTCACTGGTAGGAAAATGGATGCACCTTGAGATACCGTTAAATGAAATAAATTAAGTGAAAGTTAGTTGTGATGTTAAGTAAAATAAATCAGACATACAAGCTTAAATATTACATGATTTCTCATATGAGAACCATAAAATATAAATAAATTAAATAGCAAAACAAAGGATACTAGGAAAAAGGGAGATAAATCTTCTGCAAAAGGGAAAGGGAACAAGAGATGAAGGCAGGTCAAGAGAGGAGGAGTGGGATTGAAAAAAAGAATTATGATGTGTTATGTACATGTACTAACTGCCCACAATGAATGTAATCATTATAAACTGCAAACATGCATTACTAAAAATAAAAATTAAAAGATGAAGAAAAATTTTGTTTTAAAAAAAACTTTTTAAGAAAAGCATGGTGGACTATAACCTTAATCTGGTCTATTTTCCCTTTTAATAGCTATCACAAAATCTATGTTTTTTCAAAGAACATTCTATGTCCCAACACACCATCCACCTGCATGCCTTTATTCAATGCAATTTTTTTTTTATTTTTTGCCTAAATGTCTCAAATCCAAATATCAACTCTTTCTTGAAACCCAGGACACTGGATACTAAATTTCTCTTCCCCAACTCAGCACCCAGAATTACTCTCTCCCTACACTCTGCCCCATGTTCACACCCGTTAATGAAGCATGACATAGATCCTTTTTCTGAGCATTTTGTGCATATGCGCACAAATCTCAAAAAAAACTCTAATACATTCCTGAGGAAAATACCACTCCTTCCTCCCATTAAAAATATATACAGAACTTACTATATATTAAATTGAATAACACTAAATTAAGCATATAGGTTGATTTAAAAAGAAACTGATTTTTGCTCTTGTGTTTTAAACGGGAAAGAGAAAATTTAATGTGGAATCATCACAGCAGACATGCCCATTATATCTTATATACATTTTATGACTACTTCAATAGATTTAAAGAACTATTCTTTAATGGTTCTAGTTTTGTGGTAAGAGTCTATGCACTAAGAAATAAAATGGATTAAAAATTAAACATTCAGAGAAAATCATTTGTAATGATCACTATAGCTTTTGTTGTTGTTGTTGTTTTGATACCAGGAATTGAACTCAGGACTTTGCGCTTGCCAGGCAGGCGGTTGTGCTGCTGAGCTACATCCCCGGCCCCCTAGGATCACTATAACAGTTGAAATGCCATTTTTTCTACAGTGGGTTTGATCATAATTTATTTTATAGATGATCAGTTTTAAGGATAATCAGTAACTGCCTATATGTCTAATATTAAGAGCTGAACTAGCTGAATAACATACTCAAATGAAATAAAGTTGCTACATGAAGATCATAAACCTACAGAAATCAAATTTTTAGATTACATAGATTAAAAAAACTCTAGACTAATAAAATAGCAACTATTATAGTCTGTAGCTACAGTGGCAACTACATGCTATCCTCAGCACTGCCTCAGGTATGGTGACTCTACCTCAAGGACCACAGTGTCTCTGTGTTCAAGAACTAGCTCTTCCTGAATGGCCACGGCCGCCCACATGCACTATTCCAGTGGGAAAAGTCTGATCTGGCCAAGTATTTCTTCTGCTTCAAGGAGCTGAAAGCCTAGAAGCCTGATGAAAATCCCACGGAGCAGTGATGACAAAGCTTTCAGAGACAAGTGCCTGAGCTGAAACCCAAAACCTACCTATGTGTCACAAAGTGCCAACCATACAATTAAGCCTGAATACTGAGGTTTTCATTTAGAAAAAAAAAACCAACTCACACATTAACATATTTTGTCTTAAAAGAAAAACAATATGTGTGCAATGGCTTCCCCACCACTGCCAGAGACAAACCAAAAGCATTCTCTGGGTGTACACTCATTTCTGTCAAGAACCCATGTGAAGAATTAACCCTCAGCAAATTTCTGAAACTGGACAAAGAGTGAGCCAAGAACAAAACTGGAAAGAAAATGAACAGAAAGCAGAAAGAATTTGAAGAAACCGCAAAGAAAGTCCACTGCACCATCAAACAGCTGGCTGCCTTAGAATGAGCGCCTTGGAGTGTCTGTGGTCACCTGGGCCTGCAGTGACACATTATGTCTGAGCCATGTTCCCTGATGTGCCCAATCTTTCTATCCTTTAGGAAAGGAGAGCACCAAAGTTTAAAATTGGGTATTCAAACTGATTTTCAAGTTTTCTTCAAGTAGCACCAGTGGCTCCTCTGCCTGAGTGGCTGATGATGCTGATCACAGTGGCTCCATCTTTTTCACTGAGCTTTTTCATTTAAGCAAAAACTATTGTTCTGTGAGGTGTGGATGAGAAGAGGGGGCAGTCTCTGCCACGGGACTTGATTAGGGGGAAGAAGGCTAGATTCTCATGTTAGGAATTTCTGGCTTTGATGTTTTCATCACCTGTAAACCTGCTGGTGTACACTAGGCTGCTGATAATTCACCTTTTCTGATGTGTGCTTCACGGCAATAGAATAAATTAATTGTAAAAATGAAAAACAAAGATAGCAGGTATTGGAAATTTAAAAGAAGTTTCATTATTTTGTGAAGAACTCTCCTAATGGAGAAAAGAGAAAGACAGAAACTAAATTATCCACTCACCTATTACTGACTCACTTAGCAAATATTAATTAAGACCTTACTGTGTTCTTCTGCACCCCAGGCAACCTTTCCAATCTGGAAGCACAGAAGAAGCAAAACCGCTTTCCTCGTGAAGCTGAAATTCCTCTGGAGAAGGCAGAGGGTAAAGTGACACACAGATGTCAAATGTGGGCAAAATTGGGCTAAGAAAACTTTTTAAAATGGAATAAGAAAGAATGAGATGAATAGAGAAGTTGGGGTAAATGGAAGCCGGGGAAGTGCTACTACTCTAAAGCAGTTGGCAAAGTCCTCTAAGAGAGTAGCTTTTAAGTAGAGACTTGGAAGAGTCGGGAGGCATGGGGGCATCTTAGGTAAAAGCAGTCCTAGAAGAGTGAATAGAGTACAAAGACTGAGAGCAAGGAAGCCAGTACAGCTAGAGCTGAGGGATGAAGACAGAGGGGAATGGTAAGCCAGAGCAGAGAAGGCTCCAAATCATCGTAAGGACAGAAGCCACCAGAAAGTTTTAAGTAAGTATTAATATCGATCTTCAAAAACCAAATAGTAAATTGTAAAAATGGAAGCTGAGGGACCAGTGAGGAGTTTACTTCATTAATCCAGGCAAATCAGGATAATAAAGACAAATCAAAGAGTTCAGACGCTGGATATTTAAGGGAGAAACAACAATCTTTGCTCAGGCGTTGCATATAGGTATGAGCAAAACCAGAAATCAAGGCTGACCTAGGTTTTTCACCTGATCAGTTATCAACTAGCAGGATGAAGCTGGCACTTAGTGAAATAGTGAAGAACACAGGGAGAGCACACTTGTAAGAGGAAGCAAAATACAAGGTGTGAGACATGAAACTGTAGACACCTATTATGAGCCAATGAAGATGTCAAGAGGGACACTGGCTATGCAGAAGTTTGGAGTTCAATTAGTATGTCTGATATGAAAATATACATTTTGAAAGCACGAACAAACAGATGGCATGTTTCATAAGAATCACGGTTCAGGATTCTACCCTTTTAAGAGTTAGGAAGTTAAAGAGGAATAAGTAAAGAAGACTCAGTGAGTCAAACACTGTACTAAAATAATGCAGCATATTCCAGTGGATCTAACTCCAAAGCATTGTGTTTTAGTTTTAAAAAGCATTTTCTTACTTTAGTTTGGAATAAGAAAAATAGCTGCTGTGGGAATTAATTAAACATGTACACACACAAAAAAGAAAGAATTAAACAAGCACTGAGCAGAGTAGGGTATGTAGCAAAGAATAAATACTTTTCTTCTTTCCTCTCTTCTCTTCACCAAGGTATTCTGACATTTTCATTTTCACCCTGGATGCCTATACCTGAAATTTTGTTTTTGGCACTCAAAGCATCATGTTAAGGTCATAAGCCTAATTTTTGCATGGCTCAATAAACTAATCACTCTACATCTGTTATTACTTTGAGCAAAAATGACCCCCAAAAGCTCCCATGTTCAGAGGCAGGGCTTTTGGAAAATGATTAATCATGGAGCTCCTACAGTTATCAATGGATGAATCCACTGGTGAGTTCATAGCTTACTGTCCTTGTAGGAGCAGGTGGCTGTTCAGAGGAAGTAAGGCACGTGAAGCATACCCCGCAAATGTATATTCTTGTGCCGGGACCCTTCATCCCTCTGGGGCTATATCCCGCTCACTCTGCTTCCTGGCTGCTGTGAGGTAAGCAGCTTTCTTCCCTCATTCCCTTCTGCCATGATGGTTCTGCCTTGGGGCCAGCCAAAGACAGACTGAAATCTCTGAAACTATGTGCTACAATAAACATTTTTCTCCTTAAATTGTGTATGTCAGCTATTTTGTCTCAGTAACGGAAAGCTGACTTAGAACAACACCCCAGACCTAAGACAGCTATTTTGTATACACAAACATTAATTACATGTCATTTGGAACCCTAAGTGAGGAGGTTTCAGTGCAAATACATCATTGCTGTTTGATAAGAAAAGTCAACATCATCTCGTTTCTTCTAATAGGCAGTGGGGTGTAATACTGAATATTGTTTTCTCAAAATCGAGCCAATCAGAGCACCTATGGCATTTATCTCAATGTTTATTAGAAATGCAGACTGTCAGGCCCTACCCTGAGATGTGCTTGTACAGTGCAGCTTGGAAATCACTGTTCTGAGTCAGATATCAGACACAAGCCTATGCCAGCCACTCAGGAGGGAGACGAGCTTAAGCAATTTAGGAATGGGGATGTAGCTCAGTGGTAGAGTATTTCTCTGGCATTCCTGAGGCCCTGGGTTCAATACCAAATAGCATTTAAAAAAAAAAAAGATTAGAAAAGTGCTCCTATGAATCATTCAATCAGCTGTACCAATCATGAGCTTTAATAAATCGCAATGGAAAGGCAAAGGCTATGTGGATAAATCCTTCCTTGCCCTCAGTCAGTGTGGCTGGCTAAGAAACAGTACTCGCAGTTCCTAGGATGCCTGTGACCTTCCCTCAGCATTGAGCTAGTACTGCGGGCTCTTATTTCTGTTTTCACAAAGAAAATTTCCTTCATTTTATCAATTTGGTTTACCCAACCTTAGCATATTTCACAACTACCACCTTTTTATTCTATAAGTGAATACTCGCTACAATCATTTAAAAATCAACAAATACCAGTTTCACAAAGGCCTTTAAGGTCAACATTTTGTCAAATTCAGAAAATCTCTACACAGATTTATGTTTGCTTTCTAACATCCAAATTACATATTTGCTTAAAAAAAAATAGAGAGATATATATATAAATGAATGAATTAAAAGAAAGACACTTTGAAGGTTAAAAGTTTCAGAGTTCAAATTCCACTTCAATTGTTGGTGGGTTGACAAGAAGCAGAGGGCAGCAAAACCTTACATTTATATGAAAGGAAGACAGGAAGAGCAATGGAATAGCATTTTTTGTACATATTTCACTTTGAAGTACATGGTTAATTAATCAGTGAAAGAAAATGTAACCATCTATAAGGAGATGATCAAAACTCTTCTAATGAAGTTCCAAACTGTATGTTTAAAGGGATACCAAAAATCTAAACATATTAATTTCTCTTTAAAAACAATAAAAAATAATGCTTTCAAAACAAAAACGCAAAGAGAATTAACCCTACATTATTCTAGCGCTAAACTAAGTCAAAATAAAATAAATTACTGATTTCTAGTCTAATTGATTTCTGCTAAGCACATACATGAAAAATAAAAATAAAATTGAAAAGCAATAAATAAACTGATAGGACATATAAGTGTTTCACCAATATTTTCACCTATAAATTAATCATTTGTGCTACTTAATAAGTTATTGTATCAACAATTTTTTCAGTTATATATTATATATAGACACCTACATTTTATATACAATTCCACTCTCTTATGACTAGAATTCTTTCATTTTATTAATCTTTATGCTTTGGAAAACTATCATTATTCAAAATAGAAAATTACTTCCAAAACATAATGACCAATTCAAGTTAAAACTTAAAATTAACAAAAGTGACATTATTTTTCATACAGCAAAATACTTTCTTCAAAGTGTAATGCTGTACTCTTGTTTTCCCAGATGAGTAGTATATTGAGTGGTACACTGCATTGCTAAGTATTATTATAAATTAGAACCTGGACCATAGGCTCCATCTGCAGAATTCTAGGGGAAAAAATGAAATTGGTTAATAACTAAGGGCAAAAAAAGGTATAAGAAAAACTTCTCTAGTTGCCGATTTCTCTGGTACCTTCACTTAAGTGGGCCACTTTTTGGTTTTTAAAGTACACTAGAAAACACTTGTACATCAATTATGTTAGATATAATTTCTTTACACATTAAAATGTTTTCTAAATGAGCATGTTATTTTCTAAATAAAAATTAAAAATTAAAAAGATCCTAGGGCTGAGCCTGCAGCTCAGTGATAGAGCACGTCACTAGCATTCATAAGGCCCTGAATTTGACTCCCAACACCACCTAAATAAAAGACCAGTGTTTCATAAAAGAAAGGGTTAGATAAAAAAGAAAACTGGAGAAAAGCAAAGTACTACAATAAAGACTAGCATAGAAGTTCACTGCTATCCAGAGTAGAAATGCACCTTTGTAAGAGATTACTAAAAAAACATTAATCACAAAAAGAACTTTCAAAGGACTTACTAAAACATGAGTTTATACAAGAAGTAACTCAAACTATAGTTTATACTGTACAACAAATTACCAAATATCAAAAGTTATAAGTCAGACAAATAACAGGATACTTAATTCTACCAAGTATTTCCTAAAATCCTTTCGCTATGCTGCTAAATTTAAAATATTAAGCAAATAAGCTGCTGAAAGAAAGAAAGCAGGCAAAGAAAACCTTCACGAGAAACATTTACCAACAACAAAATAACTGATTAAATTACTAAACTATAGAATACTTATACATTAGTACTATACATAAAATGTGACCAGTATAAGAAATAGGGTAGCCCTAAGCAATGAACTCAATCAACATTTAGAAACTAAAGCACTGCCGATCTTATTTTGAATTGATACAATGAGAGAAAAACGTTATAAGACAGTAACATATGCTAATATGCATATAACTTCTGAAGTACCACTGGGAAGTATTTGCATTGTATTTGTCAAGAAATTAGGAAATGGTAAAAAAGAAAAAATTCTACTTATCTGTAGAGAAGAAAAAGCTAACCTTCAAATAAGAGCACACACATTCCCCTGCAGAGAAGAGATTACTACATCTTCAATGACTTTCATTTAATCAAAACATGTATCAAGTATATAAACTGTGTGTGTATCTGTATATCTGTTTTTTCTCAAGTATCTGAAGTCTGGTACCCTTACTATATGCTAAACCAAAGGTAGGCATAATGGATCTCTGCCTTCCAGGTGATCCAGAAGTTGTTAAAGAAAGGAAGCCAGGAATGGTGGTAGACACTGTAACACCAACACTGGCAGGATAATACAAGTTTGAACCCAGCCTCTGCAACTTAGTAACTTAGTGAGACCTTGCCTCAAAACTAAAAAGGTCCAAGGATATAGTTCAATGTGGAGTACCCCTGGATTCAATTCCCAATACCAGGAAAAAAAAAAGACCTAGGCAAATCAAACACACACATATATATATTAGATAAAAGGAAATCTAGTCTTTTAATAAGACTAAAATCTATGGGGCCAATTCTAACTTATAGGCACTCATTTAAACATACATTTAATGAACAAGTGAAGGAATGAACAAATGTACAGGATTACAATAAAATACATACTATAAAAACAATTGCTAGATTTAAAATGATCTATAAAATGATCTCTCAAAATTTTTCAAAACATTAAAAAATTTCAATTTCCATATTTCATTTAAAATCATTGTATATATACTTATTTTGAAAATGGTTTGAACAAAACAATGAAAGGATCAAAGAAATTCACAGCAAAGCATGCCTTTAAAGATTCAGTAGGCAGCACTGCCTTACCTTTTCAACAGGCAGAAGCATTTGTAACAATCGAACTGCAAACAGAGCAATGCTGACAAACGCCATTCTGTGGTGCACTAGCATTACCTCTGCTTGATCCAAACCAACACTGCTTTTATGGTAACACATGGTTTCTCCAAGGGACCCCAACACCAGTAACAGCTTCTCTTTCTGAAAACATTTAAGTAACATAAAACTAAGTAAAACAACCAATTTTAGGGGTTAAAATTACAAATACATGGAGTACTATACAGTTTAAAATATTATCACTAAACAGCAAAACAAACGAAAAAACTCTACACCTCTAAACGACAATAAAAAGGTATCTGTTGAAATAAAAAAGTACAAAAGGATAAGCATGCCTACATTTTAAAGAAAAACTAACCATTTGTAATTATTTAATGCGGAATGTAATAATAAAGAAAAAGTAAATTGGAAGATATAAAAGATTAATGAACCATAAATTCCTTCTAATTTCTAGTGCTTAATTGCTTCCACTTTAAACATATCTATGTACATTTTTTAAGTATTTATTAGATTTACTATATACTTCATACAATGGCAGGCATAACAGGAAAAAAAGAATTAGTGCAACAGATGTGATCAGCCAGGGATATAGCTCAGCAGCACAAGCACCTGCCTGGCAAGCACAAGGTCCTGAGTTCAGTTCCTGGTACAAAAAAAAGGAGATGTGATCTTTGTCCTCAAATTCATCCCAAATTTACTAAATAAGTAAAACAAGATAGTCAAATCATTGAAAAGTAAATTAATATCATTATATAAACATGCCTGTCAGGTAAAAAGATTGGTTCAAGGAGAAAATGTTCAGCTATCATATATTTCTATGTAATTTCCCATTTAAATAGATGTTAATCTTTTAATTGAAAGGTATATGTAAAATATAAAGAAAAAGATAAAAGCACAAGTAGCGTGACTTACAAGTCATACAAACATAGACCAAAATATATCCGAGATGTGCTAACATGCCCCCATAAGAGAGTACAGTAGAACAACAATAATAAAAAGCACTGGAATTCTTGCTCTTTATTTTCCACTGAAAACACAGGAGTGAAAATAAAAGTGGGAAACAATCTGCACAGTAAGAATAACAATGAGCTCACAGATGGTCAGTTGGGAAACCAGAATCAACAAGTACTGAAAAAGGAGAAAAGATGCTTGTCAAGGACAAGAATAACACAGAGAAGATAACCCAGCAGTCTGGGGTTATTCAAACTAAAGCTTCTTACTATGTGAATCGAACTTACCATGTAAAAAACACAAGACTTGATTTCTGACGCTAGGGTACGGATGACACACTCTAGATCAACCTAAATTTTACAACTGTCTATCAATAAGTTTTCTACTTTAACAAAAAAATAGCAATTTTCATGAAAATATTTTTTCTCTTATTTACTTTAAGTGAAATAAAAATATTCAATTTTAGGAGAAAATTTATTTGAGTATGCTATAAGTACATATAGTATACAATAAAATATATAAATTATAAATAGTATGCTAAAACTCTATATGCTGAATAGAGTACGAGATATGACTGAACTTGATGGAAATATCTAGAAATTTAAATATATATCCTCAGGCATACAACTTATAAATTGATAACACATTACTCCATTTTACTCTATTAATATGCTTCTTTCCCTATAAAACTGACAAAAGTAGGGATATTAAGAAATTTTCTTTATTTCTTTTAATATATATACAACAGAAAGAGATTTTTCTGAGGAGGCATTTATTCTTTTTAAACTAGTAAATCAAATATAATTTCAAACAGCAATGTTTCATTTAGCATTTCCAACAAGTTGGCACTTACACAACAGATTTAACCTTTAAAATAAAAATAATTCATTGAATCATAAAAGATCAGCAGCCAAAAGCTAAAAGTGAATGACTAATTTTTTACACATAAATGTTCTGGCCAAGAAAGTTTAATTTAAGAAGCAACTGATAAATCATTCCCCACACTTCTAAGGAAAAACTCACTTGTTGAAAACCTTCAATATGTGAAAATCTCCCAAAAGGCCTACAAAAGTGTAATAACCTTAAAGACTAAAGAAAAACCAAGATTAAGAATTATTATCAGAAATTGAAGAGATTTAAAACATAAACAGATTGCAAAAAATATAATTTGTTTCTCTTTTTAAAAGGTTTGCATTACTTCAAAAATGAAATTTTGGGGATTTTCACAAATGATGCTGTAGTTTGCATGCTGAATGTCCCTAAAAGTCCGTGTGTTGAAGGCTTGGTCCTATGGGTGGTACTACTGGAAATGCCAAGGACCTATATATGGCATGGGGCATAGTGAGAGATCCTTACAGCATTGGGCCACTCACTTCAAGGGGACTGTGGGATCCTAGAATCTTCCCTTTTGTTTTTTTTCTTTGGTTCGTGGCAATGAAATAAGTAGTTTTCTGTTATACTGCCCACCACTGGCACCCAGTACACCCATAAGAGGCCCAAAGCAATAGGGCCACCCAGCCTTGGACCAGAACCTATTAAAGTATGACCCTTTTCTATTTATAAGTTAATTACCTCATGTATTTCATTATAGTGATGGAAAGCTGACCAACACACATGGGTACTGGTATTAAGTAAATATCTATATTGTATTAGTGTATATCTTATTTTACTCATTTTTTTATTTTTTGATCTCTATTCACAAGGATTTGGGACAGCATGCAGTAAAGTTTAACTAAATATGGATGGGCAGATCAAAATAACAAAAAGTAAGGAAATTTGGTAACTACATGAGTTAATACATACTTTTATAACTAATACTTTTTATTCTAGTTCACTGACAAGATAAACAAAAAGAAAGCAAGGGAAGGGGGAGGGAAATAATGACAAACCAGATTATTAAACATATTAAACATCAAGTTCATAGACAGAAAAATTAAAGAAAAAGAACCATAACAAATCCTTAGATGAAAAGACCTAACAACAACAACTTGAAAACATTGTAAAGAGATAGTAAAGAGCTAAAAATATGAATAAGTAATGTTGATGCATCAGAAAATTACTTTTTAAAATGTCAGTTCTTCCCAAACTTATAAATAAACTCAACTCTATTTTATTCCAAATCACAACAGGGTTTGGGGTTGTTTTGAATTGACAAGTTGTTTCACACTGCGAATACAGAAGACCTAAAAAAAAGCCAAAGTAACTTTGAAAAAGAACAACAAAAGTAGAGAGACTTACATTACTGGACTTCAAGTCTTACTTATGAAAAACTACAATAATCAAGAGAGCTGGGAATTGGCAACAAGAGAGAAAGTAAGTCAATGGAACCGGAGTCCATCAGTAAGCCCACTCACAGGCAGTGGGTAGGTAGGTAACTCAGGAAAAAAAGAATAGTCATGTGAACAAATAGTACTTAAACAATTGTATGGCTTGAGGCAAAACAAAACAAAAAACTTTATTCCCTTTCCTTGCATTATATACACAAATTAACTTAAAATTAATCACAGAAATTCATTCACAATAACATTAATATGAATAAAGTATTTAGTGATAAATTTATAAACATGAGTGTGCATGTATCACTGCAATATAATTTTTAATCTTTCAGTAAGATATCCAGAGGGGGAATAGCTAGGTTAATGGGAATCTCTAATTTTTTGAGGAATCCCCATGTTGACTTCCAAGTGGTTGTAATAGTTTACATTCCCACCAATAATGTAGGTTTCTATTTGCCCACACCTTCAGCAAAATTTGTTGTTTTTTTGAGTTCTTGGTGGCAGCCATTCTTTCTGGAGTAAGGTAGAATCTGTGTTATCTTGATCTGTATTTTTATAATGGCCAAAGATGCTGAATGTTTTTTCATACACTTATGGGGCATTTGTACATCTTTTAAGAATGCCTACTCATTTCTATTGCCCATTTTTTGACTGGGTCTGTTGTTTGTGGGGTATAATTTTTTTGAGTCCTTTATATATTCTAGGTAGTAGTCCTCTAAGGAACAGCCGGCCAAAAAAAAAAAGAAAAACCCCACACTGCTGGTTATTTCTTTTGCTGTGCAGAAACTCTTTAATCTGATATAGTCCCATTTGATGTTGATTCTTGTTCAACTGAGGTTCTGTGTCTATATCAAGTGTCTTAATTATTTTATCTTCCAGCAGATTCAGTGTTTCTGTTTTTATCTCTAGCTCTTTGATCCATTTTGATTTGAGTATAGGGTCAGAGACACAGGTCTAGACTCACTCTTCTACAACCAGTTTTCTCAGTACCATTTGTAAAGAGCTTATATTTTTCTCCAGCATTTGTTTTTATCACCTTTATCAAGATCAGATAACTGAAGGTACATAGGACTGGTTTTGTCTTTTATTCTATTCCATTTGTCTACATGTCTGTTTTTTGTGCCAGTACTATGCTGTTTTTTATAAATACAACCTTGAATCTGGGATAGTGATGTCTCCTGCTTTGTTCTTTTTGGCCAGAATGGCTTTTACTATTCTGGGTCTCTTCTGGTTCCATATTTCGGGACTGTTTTCTTTTGTTGTTCCTTTTTTTTCCTATTTTTATGAAGAATGCTTTTGGTATTTTGATTGGCACTGCATTAAATCTACATATCAATTTTAGAAACATGGCCATTTTTACAATATTGTTTCTCTCTATCCAGCGATAGGGGTATCTTTCCATTATCTGATGTCTCCTGCACTCTCCTTAGAAAACACTTTCTAATATACTGCTAGAGGGTGAATAAAATGGGGCAGCTATGTGGGGAATCTGACAATATTTACACCTAGAAATATATTTACTTTTTTGAAACAGCAACCTCAAATCTATTTTAGAGACACATTTGGACAAGTATAAAATGATGTAAGCACATTATTCATGGCACATAATTTATATTAATAATTATGTTCATCAATAAGACACTGTATAAATACACAATGAAGTACTTGCAATCCAGAAAAAAAGAATGAGACATATCTCCACGTATGGATGCTGAATAATCTCCATATTAATTATTCCATGGATATATTATGTATTTTTCAGTTATAAAAACAAAGTATAAAATAATTATAAAATAGTCTACTTCTATAAAAGACACAGACGAGTAGGTATGAATCTACATACTACCTCGTTTATGCTTTAAAAAATAAAAATAGAAGGAATAAACCAGAAAATAAATTTAAAATGGCTATCTACAATGACAACTTCTCAAAGGGAACAAGATGACAGGGAGACATTGCTGAGCCATGTATTTATGAAAAGAATTTCTTTTTTTTTTTTTTTTTTTTTTTTTTTAAGGATAAAAGGAGGGAAACATTAGCAGTATGTCTGAAAAGAATTTCAAAAACTGGAAGCAAACTCAAGCAGATACAACTGCATGTTGGAATTATAACAGAGGAAAGAATTCTCTCAAGTAACTATTTTTTTTTTTTTGGTACCGGGAATCAAACTCACAACCTCACACTTGCCAGGCAGGTGCTTTGCCGTTGAGCTGTATCCCCAGCCCTCAGGTAACTTTAAGAGACATTATTTTCACTGGATATCCTTGGTGGAGATTTAGTGTAAGGGAAAAAAAAAAAAAAAAAAAAAAAACTATTCTTTCTATGCTAAAGGTTAAAACCAATAAGCAATTGTTTTTGTATTGCAAGGAATTAAGAATTCTGATGATGTGCTCGCTTCGGCAGCACATATACTAAAATTGGAATGATACAGAGAAGATTAGCGTGGCTCCTGCACAAGGATGACACGCAAATTCGTGAAGTGTTCCATATTTTTAAAAGAGAAGGGAAAGAAGGGGAAATTATGTAACTGTGTATATACAGGATAGCTAACATAGTTGTACTACTGTCTTATATTGCTCTACAGAAAGGAACAGTTAATGATTACTTATTTGATCAATCTTGTATATCTCTATTTGTTTTCCTGAGAAACCACTTTGAAGTTATCAATAAGTAATACAACAACCATGGTTAATTTCCTACAACTTTGTCTGTAACTCTGTTTTGTTTGTATTATTTTTATGCTATTTTGTAAGTGGATGTCTGCCTGTTAATGTTTTCCTTCTTTTATTTTTTAAAATAAAAAAAAGAATTCTGATGAATGAATGCACAAGAAATATGAAATTAAAAATAGAAAAACAGCAATATGAATTTATGATTCTTTTTAAACTACATATTTCCTAGCTCTATTATTATAAAGGAAGAGTGCTATCACAATACCTATAAATATCCATTATGACCTATTATTAGTTTTGATAGACCTTCCCTATTAAAAGTTATCAAAAACCAGGCACAGTGGCACACACTTGCAATTCTAGCACTCTGGGAGGCTGAAGCAGGAGGATTGTAAGTTTAAGCCCATCAAGAGCAATTAAGTAATTTAGCAGGACCCTGTCTCCAAAAAAAAAATTTAAATTAAGAAGACTGAGTCTGTAACTCAGTACGAAAGCCTAGTACCTAGTACCAAGGTAGATAGGGAGCCTGGGATACACAGTACCAGGAAGAAAAAAAGACGTTTCAAAAACCAATGAGACAGTGAAAGCCAGGGCATGGTGGTGCACACCTATAATTCCAGCACTTGGGAGGCTGAGGCCAGAGGATCACTGAATTTGTGGCCAGCCTGGGCTCCATAGTGAACCCAAAACCAGCCTGAACTACAGTGAGACCCTGTCTCAAAAAAAGAAAAAAGAAAAGAAAAGGAAAAAAGAGACAATGAAAACAGATTAAAAGAATCGAAATTAAATATTATTACCCATACCCTAAAGAAAACACTGAGTCTCACCATATCTATAGCAAAAAGGCTGCTGTCATCCCAGATATCAGCTGAAATTGCTTCATCAATTAGGATCATATCTTCTGCAAGCAATTCCAAAACTCTTATTATCATTTGTCTACTACCTAGGAACAGAAATAGGAGGAGGGTAAGAGGAAGAAATGACCTAATTTCAAGCAATCTGTTGCATCCTCTAATTAGTCATACATTCAAATTCCTATTTCACTCTTTTTTTTCCCAAAACTTTCTCAGAACTGACAGAGATAAATAGGAAAGCTACAATCTATAATCACCATTGAAGACTTCTGTTCCAACTGTAATACTTCCTGATGCTAGCAAATCAAATGTGTTCAAAAGTAAGAAAGATACTCAAGAAGAGAGTAGCAATAATCTAAAAAAAACTGCAAGAGAAAGTGATTCTTCAAATTCAGAGACCATCCATGTTACACAAAGTATATGACAAAGCACCAGACAAGTCTAGAAAATAATTTCTACTTAGTACCAAAAGGCTTGAACTTTATCAGATTAGTATTTTCCCACACCAGAGTTGCCTGGGAAGCTAAGGTTGGGTATTTGCTGAAGAAACTTCAAAAATCCCACTTATACCCATTTTAACCTCCAGAAACATTCTCAAAGAAACTGCGCTGTCAAGTCATATCTACCAAAGCACTCGACTTTCCTGCAGAGAACAGGAAAACAAAGGAACCCACTCTCCATAATTCCTATGTGAACTTCCAAAGACTTCCCTATCCCACATCCCAAAGTCAATTTCCAATGAATAAAAGTAAAACCAAACTACAGTATCATAAGGTTCTAGATGAATTTTTTTCATTAGAACAGCTAGAGCAAATTCTCTTAGAAATCTCTCACAACATTGAACAACTGCAAATTATGCAATAATTTACCACAAAAGGGCAAGAGAACATTTAGAAATTTTTACATACGAAGATAATAGCTTTATAATTGTCAATCTGACTTTTTGCAGCAAATTAAGAAAAGGTTAAATGCAAAATCATTAAGTCTAAAAAAGTTCTTCCCAGTAGGCTAGGCAGATAAACAAAAATATTTTATGATCCCAAAGTTCAGATCTTCCCTCACTTCACATTATTAGTATATGAACTAATGCATAGTTCTAACTTCTAAAAGTAGTTTTTCACTCAGTGACAAGAATGGCTTGCTTTAGTATAAAAAATGTTCACCTCTTCCCAAATACATCTCTCACTTCTACTTTCCTCGCAGTCTCCTCAAGCAAGCAAAAAGCAGCAACAACAACAAAAAGCCATGGGTCCAAAAGAAAATACATTTACATAGGATAAACCTTTTACTTTGATAATATGAACTAAAATGGGTAAGACTCACTTATCTCATATCTGTATCCTAAAAAGTATCTCAGCTGCTAAAAATGTATATGGAGAATAAAAATTCTAAGTGCTTCTAAAACCTTCTTTACCCTGAAAAATGTTGAAGTGTTTAACAGCACAGACTTTGGGTTCAGATGAAGCCTGAGTTAAGTCCTGACTCTCAGTTATCCGACTTAGGTTAAGTCTATAAATCATTTAAAACTCTAGTTTCCTCATTTGTGAAAGTTAAGATGTGTCATGTACACGTTCCAACGACCCACAATGAATGCAATGTCAAAAACATGAACTACGGGGGCTGGGGATTTAGCTCAGCGGCACAGCGCCTGCCTGGCAAGCTCAAGGTCATGAGTTCAATTCCCGGTACCGGAAAAAACATGAACTACGGCTGGGGGTATAGCTCAGCAGCACAGCACATGCCTGGTAAGCATGAGGTTGTGAGTTCAATTCCCAGTATCAAAAAAAAAAAAAACCATAAACTAAAAATAATAATAATAATGATGAAAATGGGGAAAGGCAATCGAGAAAGGTGGGTGGGGAATCAAGATACTTTAAGGACATGTACCCACTCTCTGGATGAATGTAAACATCATGTATTCCAAACATGTACTAATAAAAAAAAGGTAACTACTGTTGGAAAGAGAAAATGAACTGGTGTGAGGACTGCATGGGATAATGTGCATAAAACCAAGTACAATAGCTGAACATATGTAGTAGAGATTCAATACATGTGTCTTACTACTAGCTATTAGCCATAATGTAATTGCTGTTATCACTCTTTAGTAAAAGAATACTTACCATATTTGAGCAAAAATGTAATCTCAGAATATATGTGGGTTTTTTAAAGAAAACAAAGGACTACAAAGGTAAAAATCCAGTTATGAATATTTCCTGACTAGAAAAAAATGAATGAAGTATGAACAACTGAGATTAACTCAAAAAGTTTCTAAAGAGCAAAAATTCAAGATTTTTTTTATTCTGGCCTTGTCATACAGTACACTTTTTCCAGCTGCATTTTATGGTCAGTACTCTACAGAGGTGGGAGCTTGTGCCAATAAAAATTCTTAAATGGAAAAGGGATATTCTTTCTGAATAGCACCTCATGGCATCCCAATTTAATTAAGAAATGATAAAGACCTTATTAAATTCTTATTAATTTATATTCCAAAAGATGAGTAAAACTAGGTTCTAAAGGCCTTAACATAGCAGAGGAAGAAAAAAAAAAAAAAGAAATAGTGCTAGAAAAAATCTAGATCAGACACAGATTGTTATAGAAGGATTTCTAAAACAACTGACCTGTACTTAAGAGAGGAACTGCTGATTCCAGAAGGGAGACGCAGAACTGGGGAAGACTGAGCTGCTGGAACTGTAGTTCCAAAGTGTCTTCTGTTTCCAGCTCTGGCAGATCTATGTGGCCCATCTCCAAAGGTGAATGGACAGATATCCTCGAGTTCACATGCGCATGACTACTACTTCCACTATAAAGTAAATAAACGATCAATTTCAATACAAGAACAACCCTGAAACAGATTTACTGTCTCTCTGATGCCTTGCATATCAAAAGCCTCATAATGATCATAAAATTATGTTACCTCATGTGATACTGGTCAGATTTTTAAAAAGCTTAACAGATTCATGAGATTAAATTCCATAAAGTAGACTTAGTTACACAGATAGAGATTGGGAATAGAGCTCAGTGTTAAGAGCACCTGCCTAGCATGCACAGAGCTCTGGGTTAGATCCCCAGCACCACAAAATTACAAAGATAAAAACTGTGCATGAAGCCAAAAATGGATTTATATCTTGCTTTTCAAATTCCTATTCTTGAACATTTCAACATTCTTACAGTAATAACCAACATAAGCATTGACAAATCTCTTCACTTCTAAAAGAAAATACATAGATTTCCAGTAAAGTCCTATAATCACTCATGAAGGCAAAAACTAAATAGTGTATACAGCTTCTAAGATCTTTCTGTGATTCTCACTAAATGTTCAAATAAGCCAGTGTTAGCAACTGGATGTTCCTAAAAAAAAAAATCATAGGAAATAGATTATTTTAGTACATGCAAAATAGTGATCTTGAAGATGTACCCAAAAAAATAAAACACGCCTGCTAGGCATGGTGCTACATACTTAGTATTCTGGAAGGCTGCTACATACTTAGTATTCTGGAAGGCTGAGGCAGGAGGATAAGTTTGAGCCCAGCATGGGCAATTTAGGGATTAAACAAAACCCTGTCTCTAAATAAATGAGGATACGGATACAGATCAGTAATGGAGCATTTGCCTAGTATGTGACTCCCTAGGTTCAACACCAGTACTGGCCACTCTGCCCAAAAAAATCCATCTTCTTTGGCTTTCTTCATTTAAAAATTCTTCCCTTAAGTCCTCAATTCTCATCCATAAGTGAAGGAGACTCATACAGATACATTACTATGAATATTTTAAGAGTCCCCAAATGTATACCTATTTTGTTATTTCTCCAATTTCAAAACCCTAAGTATCCCAAAATATGGAATTGGCCTAGGTTTCTCTCAATCTATAAAAGGCCCCATGGGGAAAATATTCACTCAGGAGGGAAAACTTCTAAGCATGGAACACACTAGAAAATGAGATAGAAAGGTATTTATGAGGGTAAAATAAAAAATCATGATGGGATCAACCAACTACCTGCTCTTAACTTACTCTTAATCTGCTCAACCTGCTCTTAGGGCTAAGAGCACAGGCTCTGCTCTTAACCTCTCTAAATTGTCATTTTTGCATAAAATGATGGGAATAAAAACAATATAAATTCTATTATTCAACTGTTTTCAAGATAACTAAAAGAGACTAAGTGTACAAAGTACACTGTGGCCCAACACTACACACCAAGCAAACTTGAATTTATGTTAGCTTATAGCAGTAGTAGTAGTATGGCAAGAAAATAATCAAGTCAAAACACATATAGGCAACTTACTGAACTTTTTTAGAATGACACAAAAGATGAAACTACTATGTTTTTAAGATGTTTGTAGCATGAGATAAAGTAACACGCAAATATCATACCAACCCTTTAGGCAAACTTCATATAAGAAAAACCAGTGTTTACAAAAATAAAATACCATAAACTATGTATGTTGAACAAGTTCTCATTTAATAAAAATATTTTCCAGTCATCATTTTCATGAAAATTTATGCATTTAAATTGCGACTCAGTTTACAAAAATGTATTTAAAAATACCATCAAAATATATCCATCAAGCTGGGCATGGTAGCACCCTCCTGTAATCCCAGCACTTGGGAGGCTGAGGCAGGAGGATGACCATAAGTTTGAGGCCAGCCTGGGCTACATAGTGAGTTCAAGACCAGCCTGAACTACATAGCAAGACACTGCCTTAAAAAAAAAAAAAAAATTCATCATTTAAAACCAAGCTATTTAAACTTCATTGTATTCTATTCAAAACAAAATTTCAGTGGGTAACAATTTTTTTTTTCACAAAAATAGGAATAGAAAATATAGCTCAGAATGCAGAGCACAAAATCATAGTGATAGCTTATGAACATGTTTTTTTGGTGGACAAACATATATACAAACTATACATTTGTGTATTGAGTGCTAAGTTACAATGTAATATTTATCCTCACTATGGATCATTATCAAAAAAGTACGCAAGCCAGAGGCTGAACAAAAGGCCAATACTTGGAATGATGTTTCAAAAAAGCAGACTGAGAAGAACAACCTACCTCTGAAAAGAAAACACACCCACATTAGCAATACTCTCCTAATGTCCTTCACACAGCCGTCAGTTACCTGGAGGACACTGCATCCCAATCCTGGCCATCTCCTCTGGGTCGCTGGCCTGTGCGCCCAATAACAGAAGGCCGAGGGCTGCTGCTTCCCAGGGACAGATTCTGAGAATGGTGAGTACCTCTTGCTTCATGACAGTAAGACATGGAAGAATTTTGGGAAATTGTGTCTAGGAAAATAAAGAAATCAATAAAATCCCTCAGTGCAAACAAATTTCTAATTATATAGTATATATATGTCATTCTTCCAAAAAAGAATTGACAAACTTAAAATAGTAGAAATAAGGCAAAAAATAAAAGTAAAAACCAACCTTTTCTGCAAGTATTTTAGCCAAAAGTAGTCATGGACATTAGAGACCAGCAAGTCCAACAATACTTGATCACCCATCCCCCTACTTAAAACTCTCTGAGAACCCTATTTCTAACCACATAAAAATTAAATCATAAGGGATCAACAATCTAAATTTAAGAGCCAAAACCATAATGCTCTTAACAAAAAATAAATCTTTATGACTTTGGATTTGGCAATAGATTATTAGATATATTATCAAAAGCGTTATCAAAACATACTTTAAAAACTTTGGTGCACTAAAAGACAATATCAAGAAAGTGAAAGACAGAGCCAATAGGGCTCGACATTCAGAATATATAATTAATCCCTAAAACTGAACAATAAGGAAAAAAATAATCCAATTGAAAATTGGGCAAAAGACTTTAACAGACATTTTCCAAAGATATACAAATGAAAAACAAGCACATAAAAAGCTGCTAGAGAATCATCAATCATTCACCATTAATCTTTAAGAAAACATAAATCAATCAAAACCTCAGTGATAAAGCACATCACATCTATTAAAATTGATTTTCAAAAAAGAAAAGTGCTGGTGAGGAATTTAACTACCCTGGAAACTTCATACATTGCTGGTAAGAATGTTAAATGCTACAGGTGCTATGGAAAATAGTTTGGTGGTTCTGCATAAAACTAAACAAGAATTACCAATATGACCCAGCAATTCTACTCCTAGATATGTACTCAAAAGAACTGAATACAAGAACTTAAATAGACACAGTACTTAAATGCCAGTGTTCATTGAAACATTATTCACAATAGCCAAAAGGTGAAGTCAACCTACATATCTACCAATGGATATATAAAGAAAATATGGTGTAAATGCACAACAGAATATTTCTCTGCCAAAGCTAGGAATGAAGTTCTGATACATGCTACAACATGGATAAAGCTTAAAGACATTAACAGGGAAACAAGCCAGGCACAAAAAGACAAATATGGTATGATCTCATATGTATAAGGTACTTAAAATAGGTAACTTCAGAAAGAGGACGTAGATTAGAGGGTACCAGTGGACTTGGGGAAAGGAGAAATGGAAGGTTATTACTTACTAGTTACAGAGTTTCTGTTCAGGGAATGAAAACATTTGGGAACAGAATGGTGATGGCACAACAATGTGAACAAAATGTCACTGTAATGAGCACGTGAAATGGCTATAATGGCAGTTTTTACGTTATAGAGAGCTATAAAGACACAATTCAAAAGAGCATTTACCAAGGGAAAAAGTAACAGTTCTCCAAGAGCTTCTTAATACATTTCAAAGAAAATACAAAATCCCTTTTATCCCATTTATCAACATGTCTCAATATATGCTGGCACCTAATTACCTCTCGCTTCAGTCATTCCCCTCGCCCCCCCAGCTTTCTACACTCCACTCTCATCCTCTGTACTTCTGTGGCTCAAGCACATCACCCTCATGCTGCCTTGAAGGCCCTGTCTTCCCTAAGTTCTCTTCTTGCAGCTCTTTAAGTAGAGCTCCCCTTATCTCTCTTCAGGTTACCTCCTCTGAAAGGCTTCCCTTGATCGCCATATCTAAAGTATGCTATGTTTTCCTGGTCATGCTCTGTCATATCTTTTTTTTAACTTCCTTAAAGCACCTCTGCTTATCTAAAATAAACCTGATTGTTTATTACCTTTCCCCAGCCATCTAAAATATAAGTTCAGACAAACCCAACTGTTTATTACCTTTCCCCAACTGACTAATATATACGCGCATAAGGATGAGGATTTTAACTATTTGTTCCATGTTACACCTTTGAAGAAGCTGGAGTATCACTAATATATAGTAGGTGATAAATATCTAACACATGAATTAATGTTTACAGATTATCATCTATTTTTTTATCAACATGAGAACTCAATCTGCTGACATATGGAATATCCATAAGCTCTATTATCAGTCATTTGCAGAAGGTCATACCTCAAGAATGCTAACGAGGAAACCCTATGCCCTGCGAGAGTCTCCAATAAAGCCAATGTAAAGCATAAACATTGACACAGCATGGGACCAGAGAAACTCCCCCCAAAATAGGGACTACCTGTGAGATAATGAAAAATTAAGTACACAGAAATTATAAGTTGTAGATACTATTTTGTCAAGAACAGTCTTATACTCTATTTGGCTATTTGGAATATTCGGCTTTATATGGTGGGGTTTCTTCTTTGAAAAGTCTGGCAATGCCAACACAGTCCAACTACATCACAAATTCATGAAAATAGTCTTTATAAAATACAAATCAATATTTTTCAAATCTTACAATTTATTAAAATAGTATGCACCTGGCTACAATGCCTCAAACCCCACATGAATAACCACACTCAGCATCCCAGTCCTTAAGACTACTGCATACTGTGCAGCGAGTCCACGTACATGTAGGAGAAGAAACAAAAACACTAGGTGAAGATCTCCTGCTCAGAAAAAGAAAGAGTGTGGAATCGTGGTGGTGCTGTCATTCACCCAGCTTCCACTCAGATCTGATTACATTCAGGAGTGAAAGTTTCTGTTGTGAAAACGTGCACACAGCAAACTCTAAAGTAAATAAAACAGACAAGTCTCAGAAGAATCTTCAAATAACACCAGTAGCAGATGAATAAATAAAATACAAATACCTTGCTTATTAGAGAAAAAATTTGGATCTCGGTGAAAGTTAAGTCTATTTCTTAAATATGTACAGAGCTGCTGCAAGCAGGACACTGACTGCAGAGCCAGGCGATGTTTTCCATCTCCTTCAAAGGCCAGTTTCAGCAGAGACAACAGGCTCTGAAATGAACAGCAGTGAGCACGATTAAGGGAACAAAGCACCCATCTCCAAAGAAGGAGGCAGAGCTCAAACAAGGGTAAGTCAATAATCAAAGGTAGTAAGTTGCCAAATTTAAAAGACATAAAAAACTGACATGGGCAAAAATGACGCAGCAAAATGCAGAGACAAGCTCAAAATAAGATAATAAAATTTAAACACAATAGTCAATGTTTTTTATGTCTAAAATCTGTTAGTTGAATACACATTCTGAGGGAAGATAGAAATGATTCTGCATTAAGAACAGTACATAATACAAAACTTTTGAAAAATCATAGGCTGAGGCAGGAGGATCATTGCAAGTTCGAGACCAGCCTTGGCTACAAAGTGAGCTCAAGGCCAGCCTGAACTCCTTAGTGAGACCCTGTGTCAAAAAGACAAAAAAAAAAACAAAAAAACATAGCAAGTCCTTCTCATCTCAGACATCTAAATCATTTTGTCTTACGTGGGTAACCAACAGCTTTTCCTCTGCTACCATTTGCCTGCATGGATTCACAGTTGCCATTTGCTGATGTACATCCCAGCTGTGAGTGCAGTGCCCATTCTCAGTCATTACTAGATGCTCTAGGTATGTCATAGACAACAGACTAAAGAAAAGAACCTATCAATGTTACTCACTGCTAGTGCATTTCTTCAGCCTCTAGCATTATGCCTTAAACATGTAAGATACTCAAAAAGTTATGCTGTTCTTACTGTAAATAAAGGTTATAGCTGTTCAACCTTAACTTCTCAAAGTTTGTTCTTTCCTTTAAGGGATCCATAAATGATAATTCAAGATAGGTAAACTCAACTGCAGGTGTCAAATGAAAATACTGTACTACTTGTTGGAAGAACTATACATATCCAAATAAGTCAAAGAATAAGTGGTTTAAATAGCCAAATACTTCATTTTTAAATACATTAATGGAAATCTTCTGAAGAACTCCTACTGTGCAAAATTTGTTTTACTGCATAACTCAAAAACAATTAAAGAAGGCACTCACCTGAACAATTTTTGGCCTTTGCAGGAAAATCTCAGCAGGAAAATCTTGCATAATAACATCCTTCAATAGTTCACAGGTGTTCCAGATCAAAGTGTGATTACTACTTCTTAAAGAGCTACAAAATGTAGTATTCATTTTAAAAAAGAGCTCAGCTATGTCAAATTCTAAGTAACCTAATGGCATAACTATTAACAATCCTTCAAGTCTCAGCTGAGACTCACCACTCCTGGGAAGCATCCCTAAGTCTTTTCTTTAGTAGGTACACAACTCTAAGGAGTGCTGTTCCAAACTCCTATATTTTATGATACAATAACTGTTTATCAACTTTATGTCCTTCACTAAACCCTCCGTAAGAGCAGCAACTACATCATATGAATGCTGAGACTATCAGAATGGTACAGTTAATGCTATTAATTAAGGGCATAACAATGTCCAATCAGAGAACCTGGACAATGAGCAGTAACTTACACCACAAAGGACTATATAAGATTCCAACCACAAAAAAGAAAAGCTAGAATAATACATTAAGACAAATAGGAATTTTATGGCTTGCTTTTTGAAATACTGAGATTCATGTACATATGTGGAATATTATTTTTCACACCAGTTAGCATCTTTTCCAGATGAAAATGTATAAAATTACTATCAAACTTACTTGCTATAAACAAACTGAAAACATCAGGCACTATACCTTTCATTAGAGGAGAGAACATGTCTGTCTGTAGTTGTTAGGGGTAACCAAGGAAATGTAGAAAACTTCAAACACTTTGCAGTTTGATTTACTGTTAATCGAAAAGCAAAATTTAAGATGTCAAAGAATAAAAAGATGACAGATTCACAATGTTAAGAATGATGTTTTACCATTAAAATAAGTCCTAAAATAAAGGTTATATCTTATATCAGCCTAAACTATGGGTAGCTGCAAATTTTTCTCTTACAGGATAAATAAGAGAACTCTTTTCATAATTTAACAGAAACCCATTAAAATAAGAACTAGAAGAAGAGCATTAAACACAAACCAATACTGAATGACATTTAAGGTATCAATTAAATTTTCCACTTTATCCTGTGGCTGACCAGAGCACTGAGTTTAGATTTGCCATAAAAAGAAACAACATTTGGAGAAAATTTTCCTTTACTTGCAGAAATGTTTAATAATATTCACATAATAATAATATTCTGTATCTAACCACGCTCTAATGTATAAGGTGGTGTTAAGTGTTTAAACTTCTATGAAGATGAAGTAAAGATAAGAAAGCTGGACAGCAAATATCAGTGCTCAAAGGAGTTTAAATCTGAGAAATAACACACTTTTACATTGCCCCCATTCACATTATTTTAAACGGATATTACAACACACAAGTTAAGGTAGCAACACAGAAAAATAGTGTATACAGAAGACCATCCCAATGACAGTCTTTCTGACAAATACTTTGAAAACAATCGGAGTCATTAATACAGGTAACAGTCGTATTAAATTCCCAGGCATAACACAACTGGTTATTTTCAAAAATTGCTAATTAAAATAATGTTTACTCTCAAAGAAAATCGTGTGAAGTGGATGGAAGAAAGGATAGGCTTACAATGCTCATTTTAATTAATCTAGACAAACCAAAACTCACATGGACAGTATAACATTTCAATTGGCCTTAATATTCTCATCAGTTTCATTTAAATACTCAACATTCCCAGCCCTGGAGACACCCACTCCCTTCAGATGCCTTTTATCTTCATTCAATTAAAGCTCCTGGCCACAAACACAAAGAAATACCATCTCACTTCAAAAACAAAGCTCCTTATGAACCTAACAAAATTTTCTCTAAGCACAGATAAAGTATTTTAGCAGTTTAACAAATTTCCTGTTCTTTCTTATGCTGTTATTTGACATCTAAGTCTCCTATGAAAGCTTCTTAAAAACAGAAGACTTCCAAACTGAGTCTACTTGAACACTTGACATCAGCAGATATTCCCTTGTTTTCCTGTATTTTTTATTTTTTTTCGGTACCAGCAATTGAACTCAAGACCTTCCGCTTGCCAGGCAGGCGCTGTGCCACTGAGCTAAATCCCCAGCCCCTAGCAGATATTCTCTTGGACATATCCTTTTCACCTCAACTATGCAAGAAGTAAAATGCTAAATAAATGCTAATTTAACCACTTCCTGTGTCACCTAGGACAAGGTTCTTAACCTTTTTAGGATTTAATCCCTCTATGAGAAAAATGAGATATTAATAACACTGATGTCAGTGACTCCATGAGGATTCACTCATTATTCACTGAGTGCCTTAATATTTTGGGGGCATTATTTTGAACACTAGGAATAAAGTAGTGTTCATAGCTATCATTAAGCTTATAGTGAAGAAAAATAAATGAGAAGTAAATAACCAATTTCAGGGCATGAAACGTCTTAGGAAGAAAAGTAAACATAAATACAAAGTGCTCACTGGCTAGAATCTTTAGGAATATCTTTTAAAGCAGAGAAGCCATGTAAGCCGAGACTAGCCAGGTACAGCACACACATACACACACAGACCTGAAGAAGAGATTCTGGGGAGCAGGAGCTAACTCAGAATTCTTTAATCAACTTCATGTTGGACAAACAGCTGGAAAAAAATGAAACTGATAATCCTGAGTTTTTGACTGGAGTAACTGGATGGACATATCATCTGATGAGTTCGAACATGGATGACACATACATAGCACACACACACACAGCGCCTGACAACAAATGTGTGTTCACTAGGCACCAGGCACTAGTGATACCAATACCATACACCGACACGGTTGCTCAGATACATTTCGAATAACACAAAACTTTACATTTAAACTCTACATTCTAAACCAATCTGAAGTAACTGAAGTATGTAATTTGGTGCTAAAGTTTGACCATAACGTGTCTTCATAGCAATGACGAAGAATATATTGGTTTTCTTATTTATCAGCTAAGCAGGATTTATTGCCCTATATACACATACCGACTGGTTTAGGAGGCACATTCATTTGCTGAAAATTACTTTTGTCTTGGGGAAAATACCCTGTTAGGATTTCAGGTTGTGACAATTCTGAAAAGAGAAAAAAGAAACAAACAAACAACAACAACAACAAAAATATATATATATACACGTATAAAACTGTATCATTGGTTCATTAATTACCAAAAGTAAGACTTACTTTTTTAAAATAGCAACGTTTTAAGTTTTTCAATTATTTAAAAACTTAAAAAAAAAGTCTACTTTTTTTTTTCTCAGAATAGTCTATTCCTAGAAAGGAAAAGGTATGACTCTTCAATTTCTAGTTGAGGGGTGCTTTCCTCTTTTACTATTACAAAAATACAATTCTTCCTTAGAATGAAAACCCCCACGGTGTACATGACGTGTCTGCTACAAAGCCGACGAGAACTGTCCCTCTATGCTTCTTAGTCTAACTCCCTCCTCGTATCCACTCCAATGTTATAATTCCTAATTACCTCAATTTTACTAATATCTTTAAAAAGATATTAAAAATTGGTGAAAACAAATCAATCACTATTTTTCAATACCTTTGAATACCTACCCAATGACACACTCAGTTGCAATGAGAATAAAAATCAGAAAAATAGACAAAAACTAAATTTTGTTATTTTGTGCTTGAAGTTTTCATGGCAGTAATTTGTAATATCAACACAGATAACTAAAAATTAGCCCTAGCAGGCATGTTGAACCTGTGACCTCCAGGCTGCTTTCCCTTTTTTTTTAAATGTTATAATAAAAAAAAACCTGTAAAATAAAGGCAGTTTTGTCATTTATGTACATTAACTGTATTAAATATTTTATACACAGCTCAAGACAATTCTTTTGCATTCAGTGCAGCCCAGGCAATCCATGAATTCCTCTGACCTCACCAGCAAGGAACTAGATTGAAATCTCAAAATTTAAGATTTTGCTTTATTTGTGATGGCTCAGAAAATGTAAAGTAACAATGAGGTTTTAAAAGATACAATTTTTTTTTTTTTGGTACCAGGAATCGAACTCAGGACCTTGCACTTGCCAGGCAGGTGCTTGTGCCGCTGAGCTCTATCCCCAGCCCAACAATCAGGTTTTAGAGGCAGACACAGTAAAGTCAGAATAGTAGCTCTACTACAGAGTAGTTGGTAAATTAGAGCAAGCTGCTCTACATTTGTATTCTCGTCTATTAAATAAGACTATTAGCATCTCATTCAAAGTGCTGCTTTGACATTTAATGAGACATGTGTTTAAATCAATACATTTAGTGCCCCATAATGAAACTCCCTAATGGCACCTGCTATTCTTGTTAACACTATCAATAGTTGGGGCACTAGAACTACAATGATACAAACACCATCCATCAGATTAAGCAATCAAAAATATTTTTATTACTAAATCACATAAATCATTAGAACATTTTTTTTTCCTCAATTCAATTCAAATGCCTCCTGTGTGCAAGCCACCACACTGGGCCTTAAAATTAAATAACAAGAACACCAATAGTGTTTAACACTATATTTAATATATGCTAGATCCTATTCCTTACAATTCTATGAGAAATGTTTTCTTTCTTTTTATGCCAATTTTGGAATGCGAAGCTTGGGGAGGACCCAATGTCACAAAACTAGCACCAGAAGTAGAACTTAAATCCATGTGATTTTAACTAGTATAATACTGTGTATTGCAGCCTTTAAAGTTGGCATTCCATCATTTTAACTGGTCTCCAAAGCAAAATCATGAGCTCTAAAGAGCACATATCTCTATTCCCCTGAAGAACAAGGTAAAAAATGCAACTATATACATTTAAAGTAATGTCTGACACATATTAGTGCTCAATACAAACGTGTAGGGCTTTTTTTGTTGTTGTTGTTCTATTTTACAGTACCAGGGATTGAACCCAGAGCCTTGTGCATCACTGAGTTATATCCCCAGCATTTTATTTTTTAACTTTATTTTGAAACAGGGTCTCACTAAATTGCCCAGGCTGGCCTCAAATTTATCATCCTCCTATCTCAGACCCCAGAGCAGCTGGAAGTACAGGAATGTAGCATCTTTTTGGCCCGACCAAAAAAAGCAATAAATACAAATGTATCAGCTGGGTGTGGTGGTACACCCCTATAATCCCAGCACTCCAGAGGCTGAGGCAGGAGGATCATTGCGAGTTGGAGGCCTGGGCTACAAAGTGAGTTCAAAGCCAGCCTGAACTGCATAGTGAAACCTTGTCTCCAAAAGACAAAAAAAAGTAACACCTTTTGAATAATATTAGAAGAGAGGGAATAAAGGTCAAAGTCATGTAACTTAGAACAAGAAAAATAAGTTTGGAATGGGTGAAAGTATTTTTTAAATCTAATATTTTTTCTTTAAAATTATCCACCAGAACCAATATATTTCTACTTCAACAGTTTCCAACAAATTGATTTCAAAGGGTTACCAGTCTGATTGCTTTGGTATGGGACAGAATACACTGCCGGAACTTCTGAAGGAAGAATAAAAAGTCCATCCAGAATGCCATCAATTTCAGCTTGCAGATCTGGTTCCACAGTAGGTCGAAGCTTAGAAAAGAACTCTACAGCACCCAGGTCAATCAAATGCTGGACTGCTGGAGGATACTAAAATAAGAAAAGAGTAGTCCTGAGAATAACTACAGATAGAAAAAAATCTCTGAATAGCGATGGCATCAAAACATAAAACTTTTTGGTATATCAAATGTTCCTTTTTTGAAAAACAAATCTTTCATTGCCATACCCTAAACAACTTCAAACACAACATAAATTTATAAAGAAACAGGGAAAACACTCAACACCTATGAAGAGATACACTGAACACTAGAAATGCACACTGTCAGTTCCCACTCTTTATTAAATAGGTTACTTTTTTCCACTGACACATTATGCTCTCCCACCCTCAAGTCATAAAATGCCAAAGAAGTAAGAATCGCTACAAATGCAATTACTTAAAGACCGGGCAGATTGAACTTATATTTTGACATGTGGACCTGGCACCTACCAGAGGTATAGGAATAGAAACCTAAAAAGCACGTATGAGAAAGGAACTTAACACTCGTGTTATTTATTAAATATGGTCTGTAACATGAAGTACGTTCCCTAACACAGACTCTCATGGTTGATACACTGTGTCGACTTGAGAAGTTTAGAAGGTTAAGGAAGTGACTCAGCAGGGGGTCGCTGGGCGCCTCACTTTGCAAACACCTCGTTTTTAAAAATTCTTGTATAAACCCCATAGTTGAACTTTCAATAAATGCAATACGACTACGAAATACTGGCCTGATTATTTTCTACTGCAAAACGATCTTACCTTAACCAACCGGTTCAACAGATTCAAAACCTCCTCTTTCATGGGGACGGATGGGAAATTGAACCATTCCAGCAAGTGGAGAAAAAGCAGCCGTTCCTGAACTAGATCCGCGTAGCAGATTAAGTTGTGCTCGATCTTGCTGAGAATACTCCTGAGCGCGCGCTCCCTGATCTCAGTCAGCTGATGACCTGTCACAAAAGTACACCGCAAAGCTATAGGGTTTCCCCAAGCCATGGAGAGCCCCCCCAGCCAGAATTTATTCCAAAACTCTGTAATTTACTCTGCGGAATGTGGACAGGTTGAAGAAGAAAACAAAAAGCCAACTGTTTCAGAGTTGGGCCGCCGACACATTCGGGACGCGAACTCCAGGGCTTGCACAAAGGACAGCAAGGGTCCCCGGGGACGCCCTGGCGAAGTAGTGACAAAAGAGGGGGCCGTCGAGGTGAGACCTGGCCACAGAAACCTGGCACGATCATGCCACGAAAACAAAAGTTCTCGGGTGAAGGGCAACTCAGACCGTACCGAGTTTCCTGATGAGCCCTGGTAGAACCATCCTGTCCCCTCAATCTGCGGCCGCCGGAGAATTAAACTGCCGCGCCACGAGTCCCTGCACTGTTAATGTTCCCCGGAAACTCGTCCAGTGGAACAACACGTTCCGCAAGGCCTCAGAATGGGGCATTCATGAACTCTTTCCGGCGCGTGCATCACCAGACAAGCTTGGAGTTTCCCTGTAATGACTGAAAGCACTCCCGAGACATTAGTGTCTGTTTTAAGAAGCGGAATGAATGAAGGCGTAGAACCACCTTAGACCCTGCTTTGGTCGCTATGCAGGTCGGGAGTTGTAGTCCTCTCTCAGTCCCGCTTCTGGCGCGAGTTCCGGACACGCCCCATCGCCAGGCTGCCTGGAGTTCCGCCTTCCAAGCGCGCGCTCTGACGCGGGAGGAGAATCCGCTGTATGATCCTGCCAATCGCAGGCTCCGCTCCCAGACCCTTAAAATTCAGAACATACTTTTGTGCTTTGTCCCTGGACAGTTGTCCAGTCCTTTCACTCCCCCTCGCGAATTACATTACTCTTTAACTGTGAAATATGCATGCCAAGTCGTGCAGTGTTCCAGGGTACCTAAATTCAGGTATAAATAAACAAGCCAGAACGGAAGAGCAAAGAAGGAAATACGGGAGGAAAGAGGGTGGGAGTAAAACCATAAAAAGAAAAGGCCGGGCGTGGTGGCGCACTCCCTTAATCCCAGCTCTCTGGAGACTGAGGCAGGAAGATTGCTGCAAAACGGACACCAGCCTAGGATACAAGGTGAGTTCAAGGCCAGCCTGAACTACACATAAAGACCGAGGCAGGTGTATTAGACAGTGTCTGAATGCCGTCAAAGTTGATTGTTGCATCGTGTACTGGGATCCAGCTCCACAAACAGGGAAAATAATTAAGCAATGGTAAAGCAGCAATAACAAATTTGTAACATGATTTGCATTTTGGAGAGTATTTTACCTCGGTGATCTTTTCAGTTTTCCTGGGAAAGGGATGTCAAGACAAATATTCCTGTTGTAATGTTGCAAAATGTGAAAGCAGAGAAGTGCCCCCCCTTCCAAGGTTGAAGTTTGAAGACTTTATATGTTCTTGTTCCCTTTGTGTGTGTGTGTGTGTCTGTGTAGGTGAAAGGTGAAATGGTGATTTTTGAGTTGGACCTTGAAGAATAAGTACCGATAGGAGTATGCCAAGCACAGAAATTAGGATAAGCTAATTCCTACCAGAGAAGATAATATGACAGCAAAGAAAAGGGATCAGAGGGTATGTGTCAGATCCGAAGAAGAGAGACAGTCAATGCAGCCTTTTACTTCTGGGAAGAAGAAAGGGATGGGAAATGGGCTGCTAGCTTGCTGGATGTTTCCCATCTGACCCTCCAGTGGCTCTCCAGCCCCTGCAGCAACTCACCTGTCAGCAGGTTATGAAAAGACCTTGCCTACTATCAAACTCCGAGATATTTAACCAAGACTCCAAATACGCAAAATTTAAAAACATAGAACTGCTCCCCTTTGAAGGTTGAAGTCTGAAGACTTAATTATATGTTCTTCATCCCCTTAATGTGTATGTAGGTGAAAGACGGAATGGCTTAGGCCTAACCAGCCAACATGGTCATGGTGGCTGCATTCCTCTAAGCAGACAGCTTCTGATGGAGAATGTGCCAAGCAGAACAGAAAGTGGAGACTCTGGAGGCCACTATACCAGCCCAGAAGTTGCTGTACTTATCTAGGCTTCATAGATTTAGTTTCAGATTTGAAGGTCAGAAAACCCACAACAATACAGGCAAACAATGGAAGTAAGTTTTTTTTGTTTTTGTGTTTGGTACCGGGAATCGAACTCTGGACCTCGAGCTTGCCAGGCAGGCGCTTGTGCCACTGAGCTATGTCCCTGGCCCTGAAAGTAAGTTTTAAAAGGTATTTCTCAGATGAACAGTCATAGATGATGAGAATACGTATGGAGTGATAATTCTGTGTGAGAAACACAAATAATTTAAAGTAAGCATGTTGCAAGAAAATGGGGGTCAGCTGTAAACGTTTCTTTTATGTTGGGCTAAATGTCAACAAAAGTTTTGCTTTGCAATTTTTATTATTATCGTCAAATATACATTACAGGGTAAGTATGGGACGAGCACCACTGCTCCATTGCCCAGGGAGCCCTAGGCTCTTAACTCAGCCCCAATAAAAATTAAGAGGGATAAAGTTTAATGAAAGCAAGACCCTTTATTTGTAAAGAGTAAAAGGAATAGAGAGAAAGGAGAAGACAGTTAGGTACTTTGATTAGAAAAAATCCGGGTAGGGGGTTCCGGAAAGATGGAGGACCCATGGGCCCTTTGTTCCCAGCTGTTTTTATAGAAGGGATGAGTGACCCTTCCTGCTGCAACTGGCCGTAACTGGATGGACCATTTGAGCAATGTCTGGCCACCTCTGCCTCTTCTGGTGGTCTATGTGCAGCTTTGTGTCTGTTTTCTGGCCCTTGACCTACCTTTTATGGTCTTATCTTTAGAGTGGGTGGCTAGTTGGCAAGGAGGTACCTTATTCATGGTTAGCTTAGAGTTCATAAGAGAGCCTGTAGATATCTATTGTACTCTATAAGGACCCTAGAGTGAATAATATAGTGACTCTAGAGTGAATACACATGTGTGTATATAAGTATATGTTAGTGCACAGATGTGAGTCTATACCGCCTTCAAGTTAGTCAGGCCCCTTTTTGTTTTTCCTATATTTTATTGGAGGTGGGGATTTCTCTTTGTGTCCTGCCTGTCAGTCCTTTTTCTGGCCTCCTGGTGCAAGTCCCAAGGCCATTTGGTACCTTTCTTTATCTGGTTTTTCTCTCTTTTTTGACCCCTGTCTCACCTGTTTCCCAGGGGAATCTCTCCAATAAAATTTGTTTTTAACTCCTTCTAAACAGGATTAAAGACTCAGGCCCCATTCTGTTTCCTTGTTTACAGACCCCTGACCCTACAGTATCACCCCTTATCTGAAATGCTTGAGCCAAGAAGTGTTTTGGACTTCTGGTTTTGGAGTATTTGCCTATGCCTGATGATATATCTTAGGGATAGGATCCAAGTATAAGCATAAAATTCATTTATGTGTCATATATACCTCATGCACATAGACTAAAGTTAATTTTATACAAGATTTTTAATTTTGTACATGGAAATTTGGTGTGGGATATTCCACATATGACATCATGTCATTATTCAAAAGTTTGAGATTTTCGAGCACTTTGGAATTCAGATTTTTTAATTAAAGCTCTTCATTCTGTATTGCTTTTATAATTAGACAAAAATTAGCAAGAACTATTTATTATAGTCATAGCAAAGAAATTATCAATCATTCTCCTATTAGACTAAGTATTGATCCAGAATCTCTACTCAAAGAACGAACCTTCAGTTTATTAATTCCACTGTGCAAAAATACACACATATTCCAGTGTATTAACTGTAATTTTATTTATTATCATTAATATTTATTGTACCTTTCTTTTGCTGCTGCTTTTCTACTTTCTTGAGGTAAGGGCTTTGATGCCTGATTTTCATTGTTTCTTATTTAAATAAAGGGAATTTTAAATTCATGAGTTTACGAAAAGCTTAACTACATGAGGTTAGATTTATATATTAACTATTTTTATTTTCATCCATTCTGAAACTGCCATTTTGGTAATTCCTGTTTCACTTTGTTACATATGTGTTTGCTATTAATGTCTACTTTTATTATATCACAGTCAGCAAGTGGGTCTTTTGTAATTTTGAGCTTCAAGGTCAAATATTTTTTAAGGTCAAATACTTTAAATGGTACCTGAGAACTTGGATAAATTGCACAATAAATGTCTGTGAGGATGTAAGGGACCCTACGTGTATCTTTTGCATAGATACTATCTCATAAAAAATTGTGTTGAATTTTATGTGATGAGGAATGGTCATCACTCAGTTGTAATGCATACATGGATCAGGAAAGGACTGAGCAATAGCGTGTATATTTGCTACTGTCACAAGCCATGTGACATTTTGGAAAACACAGGAATCAAGCAGCACAGGCCAAACTCTACTGTCTAATTATTTACTAATACTATGATCAAATTCAACTATCTACACTGAATTCTGAATCATCTTAGTCATACTTCTAGTCATCTCTGCCAACTGCTGGTAGTCATTGCCTCTGTGAGGTCAATGAGATTAGATGAACATATTTACTAGGAAATGGTTACTTTTCTAAGAACGCATATTACTATCTATAATGATTTCTTCTAAGAGAAAAATGATACGCTTTTTTTCTCTCAGAAAATAATCCATTTTTACTTTTCTTCATTTGTTGAAATGAGTTTTAGTACTATGTACATGAATCGTGTCTCTGTCAGTGATGATCATAGGCATTTCATACACTTCCTGTTAATATTTGACCAATTTTAAATATGTGGCTCTTAGCTCTATTAGCTGAAGTAGTTCATAAAGCACAAGCTTTAGATGTAGACAAGCATGGATTTAAAACCAACCTTACAGCCTCCTGCTTGCATAATTGTAGGTAAACCGATTAACTTTCTAGGTTGCAAATCATAGGCCTCTAATTCAAATAAGCAACAATGTAATATTATTCCACTCTAGAAATGGACTCAGATTTAGAGATTTAAAAATTATATTATTTTCCTCTATCTCTTGGTTTTACTCCTAGGTCCATTTGTTTCATTTTCTTCTTTTACAGTCAGGATTTCCTAACAATGTAGGGAAAGAGAGGATTGTGGTTCATATGTCCATCCTTCTGTAATAGCCTTAGAAGTAAAAGAAACTTTCCTCTCAGCATTTGAGTATAAAATCCATGCATGATAAGAGCCCAAACAGAATCATTACTAGGACATTTCCTGTCCTAACTTTCTTGTTTATACTTTCTGGAGAGAGAGACTGGATATATAATGGCACCAAACCTACAGGAGGTGGGGAGAGAACTTCACAAAGGGATGCTGTTAAAAGAAGATGACATAAAATATTCGAATGGGTGGGTGATAGAAAACCCTGATGTTTCTATACCTTCTAAGCCTCCTCTTTCACAAATAAAAACTAGTATTACTAACAGAACCTACTTATAAGAAT